TGGAATCCAAATGGATTATATGTTTCAGAGCCAGGTAGGGTTACTTATCTAGTTTCAGTGTTCAGGAGCAAAATCACAGTTTTATCCATAGCCTTCCTGAGGATGATCAGGAGGGACTCCATTCAAACAAAAGTACTCATATCCTGTAGATGGCACTGACTCTGTTACCCAATGAATGCTTATCCAGTATGTGAATTTTCCAGGTGTGTAACTTCCTCTGTAATGGATGGCATCAGCCCCATATGTAGGTGGAGTTTGCAGGAGGGCAAAATTGTTTTAAAAACAACCAAATCAGATAAATAAAACTTCCAGCAACATATTACTTGTAACATTATAGACACTGTAGACAGATATTAAAACAGCATGGTTACCTAAGAGGGAATTTGTTTCAGACATGAGGGCCAACCTGACTTGGAATTAGTTTAGCAAGAGCCAAAGGTCCTGAGTGTGGAACATGGAATATGTGAGCAGTGGTGGGCAGTGAAAGGTACGAGGTCTGGGAATGTGGTCTTTCCTGGTGTAATAAGGCTGCAGCAGTGGACCCTGCACTGTAAGGAGGGGATGCAGGCATAACTAGGAAGAAATTGGGTGCAGAAACATGGGAAAGTTGGTTGCCAAAGGCACTCATTTTCCAAATCCTCTAAGTCAGCTTCAGCTTGTCATATAAATCAGCTTTGAACCATTTCACTGCATGTGAACATTTTTCCTATTTGATAAGAAAGAGTGAAAATGTGGGTGGTTCAAGTACCGAGAGATCATTAGAAATGAGTTTTTATTCTGTGTTAGTTTCTGGTAAAAGGGATTGGAAGAGATAAACTATTAGCTGAACCAAGGTTTTCCCTCACAGGAATGAAGAACAGAAGACTGCACACACCAGCTGCAGAACGGGGTGAAGCCACATGTTTTCATTTCAGAGTTGCCTTTCCACATTTCATAGCTCCAGCACACACAGCTGGTTTACTGAGGGCACACATGCAAACCTCAGGGGGATGCTGGAGCCAGCTCCCTAAGCCAGCATCTCCTGGCCCGAGGTCCTGTTTTCTAGACACAAACAACTGAGTGTGGGAAGTGTGTTAAAAGCAGGGCAAGGGCTTTCACAGGGTAATCTCAGTGGTTCCCAAATCTGGCATTATCTTGGAAGTTTGTTTTGAAAAATGCATATTTCCCAATCCTTAGCCCTTGAAAAATTACTAAATTAGAATTCACAGATGTCTGGAAAGCTGATTTTTTTTTTTGACCAACCACTCAGGTATTGTGTATGACAAGCCTGGTTTGGGCACCCTGACTATTCTAATTTAATGCCCTTTGTAACTTTATAAAAGTATTAGTAGTCCCATTGTATAGATGAGAAAGCTGAGGATCCACAGTAGAAAACCACTCAAAAGTAACACCACTGGTAAAGAGACTTAGCTGGCATCAAACTAAGGTTGGTGACCAAAGCATCTACCACACACACCTACAGCAGCAGACTATACCAAGCACTTACCTCACTGTCTCGAATCCTCTGACCACTCACATGTACATTTGAGAAGCAGGGGCAAGTTTAGGCTGGTCTTGCCTCCATCAGAGCTCCTCCTCTCCACATGGGAGCTAATGATACTCCCTGCCTCCTGAGATTTGCAAACCCCACCTTCTCCCCCATCAGAAACCTATCTGACTGGAGAGTTCCTCCCTCAGGAACTGGGTGTTTTTGATCAACACAAGTTGATGGGACAAAGGAAACTTGTCAGGTGCTCCCAGGCAGTGCAGCACCCTCTTTCCTGGCAAAGGTCAATTTTATGATCCCCCAAATCCACCCAACCACCTCCCACCTCTCCCACAAAGTTCATGTATTAAAAGGCTTTGCTTCTAAAGTAACCTGCTTGTATGGGATAAATTATCCTACCTTTAAAAATATCTGCAATTACCAATCAGTGCTTTGATAAATGTGAAGTAAGTAAGGTGGACATAGGTCCAAAAAACTATAAAAACTTTAAAGTCGGTACATCTAAAAGCTGAGAAGCCTATGTCTTTGTTAGTCTGCACAGCCCAATTGTGGCTCTATGGACATTTTCCTTTACACTCTTTAGAATAATAAAAAGAACTTGCAGAAAACGAAGGACGGCTGGGATTTCATTGTAGGTATAGCTGTAACTAATGGAATCAGACTGGCAGTGAGATTTCAGACAAAATGGACAGAGGACTTCACTGCAGGCTCCAAACCTCTGCCCCAGTAACAGGCACACACTGTGCTGTGCCTCAGCCCTGCCCTGCACTAGTCACAAGGAGTTCTGGGGAAAACAGTGGAGAATGCAGCTGCTGGGGTTTAAAAAACCCAACACTCAGATTTGTTCAGATGTGTTCTCTATTTAAGGAAGAGGGAAAGAAATAACAGGGGCTCATCACTGTGGGGTTCTCTAACTTTATTGTTCCTAAGAAACACTTACGGAGCTTCTCATAAAATGATATTGCCAGCTTCAACCCCCAGAGATGCCAATCCTCCAGTCTGAGCTGTGGCTTGGGATTCTGTTCCACTTCTTCATGCATTCATTGGTTGATTCTTGTATGCGCCCTGACTGGGGATCAAAACCACAACCTTGGCATATGGGGACGATGCCTTAACCAACTGAGCTATGTGGCCAGGGCAGGCTTGGGATTTTGCATTTTCAAGAAGCACCTTGGGTGATTCAAACTGCAAGTTTTCTCCTTAGCCTTCTATTTTAAAAAATTCTCAAACCTAGGAAAGTTCCAAGAACAGTACAATGAACACCAGTATACCCTTCGCTGAGATCAAGTCAGCAAATTTTTTCAGTAAAGGAACACATAGTAAATATTCTGGGCTTCGCAGGCAGGCCATACAGTCTCTGAGGCAACTACTCAGATCTACCATTGCAACATGGAAGTCGGTCAGTGTGTGAGCCAATGAGTGTGCCTCTCTTCCCATGTGACTATTTATGGACGTAGTTGTCACATCATAAATTACTCTTCTTTTGACTTTTTCCAACATGTTGTAGTTAAAGATGTGAAAAACCTTTCGGAGCTCAAAACTGGTATGAAGAGTCGGGGACAGGTGTGGCCTGAACGGGTAAGCTCGGCAACCCCCTAGGCTTTTCTCAGAACAGGCTTGAAATTAGTTATCGCTTTTCACATCCAGACTAGTCACATTGTCCATCTTAGGAAATTTTAAAAAACAAATCTGTGAAGTTATTCTCTCACCTCTTTGTCATATTTTCACATATAACATTTCACTGCTTGCAATGGCTGATATTTTTGGATGCCCTGTGGGACACAGTTCTTCATGTATAAGTCATAGTTTGGTCATTCTCTAATTTTATCACATAAAAAAGTGTGAATGCCCTTCCCGAAAACCCCAGGGCCTGATTAGCATCCTTTTTTCAGCTTCTCTCTTATATTGAAGATAAATTAGGGTAAAAAAAAAACCTCTACACTTCTCAAGGACTCCAGTGACCCAGCAAGATATGAACAACACTTAGTCATTTGTGAACAAGGGTGTGGGGAAGCCTTTCCTTAATTTTTCCTCCCCGACCTTATGTTGAAAATGTGATCCAGTCCAGAGTGTCTGCTCGCATTTCTAGCAGACTGAACTATGACTAAGCAAGACTAACGGTAATAAAACCAATCTGTTACCCAATTATTCCCATTCAGTCATCACCTCTAGGGGTGCTTTCGTTATTAAACATATCCTAAGTATCTGAAACCCAAAGAGAATTCTGGGGGAGAAACTCTAATGCTGCAACATGAAAACGAAAAACATCGTTACAATGGAATCTAAATACTTAACTACTAGAAGCAACTGCAAAAAAAAACAAAAAAAAAAAAAAACAAAAACAAAAAAAAACACTCACTTGAATTAACTAAGTGCATTCCTGCTTACTGGAAAACCTTTCAACTGGGCTTATCCAAACATTACCTCATCTCTTAAAGAATGAACACCTAGTTATCTGAAACATTCAGGCCTCTATCCACAACCTCCTTGCCCACCCCTCCTGAAAGCAAAGTAACCTATTTAATGGCTTGAGGATGCGTTCTCCTCTAATGAAACTAGAGAACAGAGGAGTCATAAATACTCCCCGTCCCCCAATCTTATCCCTGTCTAAACATCAGCTTAGAGGTTGCTTTGGAGTCATCCTCTGTGAGACCATGTGTCTGCCTTTCATCTTCTCACAAGCACTCTCTTCCAGCCTCTGAAGATAATATAAGGCATGCTGGTTCAGGTGGACAGGCAGGAATCTCACAGCAGACTTAAAACCCGACTTGCTGGCTTATGAGAAGGCCCTGTGTTTCTCATCAGCTGGCTCATTTGTGTACGGCCACATTTCTGGAGCTCAACCAATTCTTATACATTACCTTTGAATATATTTTCTCAGTAGAAATGGAACAGATTGCCAGCTCCCAGTTGCCTAAATGGGTATATTACTTTAGATGTCCAATTTAACAATTTGAGGCAATTAAGGACTAAAAACTGTATTTAAAAGTTCTATTAAAAGAAAAGGATAGTAAAATGCTTTGTTTAGGGCTAGGAGTTCTGTAACATAGGAATTGCAAATAAAAATAACAGATAAATGTAATTTTGTTTTTATCACAAAAAAATTACAGACTGAAGCAAAAACAGTGGGCCTATTATCCTAGTGCAGCAGTTCCTAAACCTGGCTGCAGGTTAGAGTCACCAGAGAGCTTTTAAGGAACTCCAGTGCCCAGGCTGCACCCGGAACCAATTAAATTTGAATAGAGGGGGTGGGGTGGGGTGGTGCCCTGGCCACCATATTTTTTAAAGCTCCCAAGTGATTTCAGTGTGCAGCCAAAGTTGAGTATCTGTGCATTAGAGAATAATCCCTATGCTTCTGAAGCTTAGTCTTAGAAAATCTGCTTAGTGGACAATTTTCCCTTTCTTATTTCTGCTGGTAACTTCTTTACGGCTGGAATATGGAATTTAAAAATGATAGATTGATTGACCAATTGACTGATTGCTAGATAGATAGTCAGACCCACATATAAAAAAATACATGCACACATACTTTTATTTATTTAACTTAGGACTTGATACTTAGCATATAAATCAGAAAAACTGAGTGCCTTAGAACTGTATTACATATTCTCTCCAAATCTTTAAAGAGCCAAACTCTAAAAACACACATAAAAATATTTAAGTCATAAAACACACACACACATTCAAACTAATCACCTTCAGGAACCATGATCCAATAATATATTTAAAAGGTAAGATCTCATTCATCAATATACAAAACAAACAACAAAAAGACCCCTAAAATTTGATTAAGATTTGTGCCCTTAGGAAGAGCACTTACAGTTAGAAAGGTTTATTGGTGGCACTTTGAGGTAGCGTATTTTGTAAAGTAACATAAGTCACAGAGCTGCTCTGCAGTTTCTCCTGGACACAAGAGACAGGCCATCAGCCATAGCTCTTGGTAGACGAAAGTAATTTTTGTCCGTATTCATTGCCAAAGTCAGCCTGAACACACTTCCTACTATCTCACTGTGGCCATTCCTCCACTACAGTCCATGCATTGTGGGTTTAGGGAAAGGTAAAGGCATTTTGACGCTTCTTTACTCTTGGTGTGGTTGTGTCCCAGGCCAGGAGCCAATCTACTTTTGCCTCATGCAACCCTCACTGACAGGAGGTGCATGCACTCAGTGGAAGGGAAATAGGCCGTCATGGCACCTTTTTAAATTGGCTCTAACAAGTTCATTAAGAGTGCCTGACTTCTCCAAGGCCATGAAGACATTCATTTCTGAATGTTCCCTCTACAACAGGACCCTTAAAAGGCTCTCCCTTTTTTCTCCCCCTTAGTGCAATATTTTGGGGTATCATTAAGCTTTCTGCAGTTTTCTTGGCAGGATGGTGAGCAGAAAAGCTTAAAAAAATTTATACACAAAAACAACTACAAAAAACCTGGATGCAGGAGCAACTCTAAGAACAGACTTCCTTTGTGCAAGTTGAAATGATGAGTTTACTGTTCAGGAAAATGGCCTGCTTCTTTTAAAAAAGAAAAAAAAAGGTTAAATATTCAGCTCAGCTCTGCATTTTAAACACAAATATACAGTCAAAACAGGTTAAGGATTAAAGCTGCAAAAACGGTCCCGATAACCTCAGACCTTGGTGTAGGTCAAATTTTTGCCCAATGGTCACAGACCAAAGGGATGTCTGATCCCTAAAAGCCCTTTTGTCCTAATGTACTTCCTGTTGGAAAGTTGAATGCTTGGAAGGAGTCAACATACAAATGAATAAAAATAGCACATGTCCAGGCAAAAAAGGGCATGAGCTGGGCCTGAGTTGCCAATTAAATCTCTACCATTCAATATCATATAAAATCCTCAAAGGCTGCCCAGAACCAGGGCCCAAAGCATGGCTGAACATGCAGCCACCCAAGTCAACTGCTGACCCAAAGTCCATGACGCACTGAGCAATAGACTTCAAGTATCCAGGGTGCTACAAAGAGCCGGTCCTCTCGGGCACTCGGGCTGACTCTCAGAAGCCCCCACCCCACCTGCCCATGTGACATCCCATAATACAAGAGGTGAGCACTGCTTATGGTCACTACAAAACACTGGGGTGGAAGGTGAGGAATAAGAGAAATACCAGCCTAGAAAATACAAATAAATTCCTTAACATTTTGTACAACTAGAAGGTGCATGAGCTGGTATTCAAGGAATCACTTTAAACTCTTTTCTCCCCTTTCTGTATCAAACAGGAAAATGGTTCCATTGGGTTAACAGTGTCATTTTAAAATGCCATAAATTAAATAAGTTAGTTCACATTTTTCCCCCAGCACTTAAGTTACAGTTAGTCTCTAATGTGCTTTTGAAATTTGCTTTAACAGCTCCAGGTCTCTCCTGTGGACAGCGCCGACTCTGTGACAACCATACTCCTCCAGCTGCAAAGGTATGAATTGTTCCAGCAGTCCAAGGCCCTGTCCAGCAGGACTGGTAAATAGCTTAGTCCATGATGGTTTAGAGTTTCCACTGAAGCCCAAAAATATGGTACTCCCTAAAAAAAAATAAAGAAAAAAAAGTTCAATTTGTACATTTCCTAGTTTTAGGGAAGATAATGTCAGAGGTGAGCAAAACAAAGTTGGCTGGCTATAAAACAAAACACAAAAAAACTATACTTCCTTAAGTCAGCAAAAAAATTCTTACCACCCACCTTATGTCCTAAATAGCAAACCACATCCCAACACACTTCCTCTAACATAGTCTCCTTATTTAGAAAGGATTTTCATGATACTTACTCTAGCAAAATAAGCTCATGAAAATGGGCTGGTACCTACATTCCACCATAAAAAATAAGCTGGCATTATAAGAATTTCATAGAAGAATACAAATACAAACCTTTGTTATAAAGATGAGCTGGTTTGGCTAATCCTAGAGGTACTAATGAATCTGAAATATTCAACTGCTTTATTTCTCCTCTTGTGCTCAACAGGACAACAGACCTATATGTACAAGTTAGAAAAATCAGAGCAAATTTCAATAATTTTGCATGTATTTACCGGGTTCTTTTCTGAAGTATGAGATTTTCAACCTTTTTCATCTCATGGCACACATCGACAAACTACTAAAATTCTGTGGCACACCAAAAAATGTACTCATATTTTTTTTTTTACAATCTAACAAAAATATAGGTAGAATTTTGATTCATTCACACCGGACAATTATTGCTGTGTTTGCTATTATAATTTTTTTAAAAATTGACAATCTGAAGGAAAAGGGGTCAGTGCCCCTGACTCAATGGTCAGGTACTACATGTTTTAAAAATTCTTGTGGCTCACCCGTGAGCTGCAAGCTGAAAATCACTGTAGTAAAATAGAAATACTAGATAAAAGCAGAATTCAAAACAAAACAAACAGAATCCAGATGCTTTTTTATTTCCGCTATTACAAGATCCGACCTCCTTGCCCCACCTAGAATTTACATTGCTATTACAAGAGGTCTCTAAATGTAAGAAAAACAAGTTACTTCAGATCAGTTGACAAAGTTGATGCTTGGGACACAGACCTCGTACAGAATGAACTATTGTAACAGGGGAAGCTAGTTTTGTTTGTTTCAGGTGCTCTATTAATCTACTCATTAAAGAAATGGATAAATACCAATTCTAAAAAGAAACAATATAGTCTATTCCCCATGGTTTGCTTTAAATTTCCATCTTTATTATGCAGTATACCAACACAAATACTAAGATTTCTTTGTGGATTCTCTCTTCCGATCTCTCCTCTGCCAATTCCATACCAGCTTAATCACTATGACTTCATGGTTTATTTTAATATCTTATAAATAAGCCCCTTGTATTAGTATAATTTGTTTAAAAATTGTATTTTTTAAGCTTTCCCACATTTATTCTTCCAGATGAACTTCAGTGTCATATATGAAATACAACAGAAAAGTAACTGATTGAGCCACTAATGGAAATAAGTTAAATTTCTATTTAATGTAGGTAGAGTGACGTTTTTAAAATATTAACTTTTCTCCTAGAAAAAGAGTCTCTCCTTCTATTCAACTCTTCTATATGATGTAGTTAAGCATTTATTTTCTCAATGCATCTTGACATCTCTTATTAAGATTTTCAAGTTTTACAGCGGTGTGGGTTTTTGTTAAAGTCTTTCTAACAACAGCGGTGACTACATGCAGAGTCAGACCAGAGGTCTGACCACAGCCACCCTACAGGCCTGACCTTCTTCAATGGGTCACAGTGACACTGGGTCCCATGCCATCACTTACAGGTCCCCCCACCCACCCGCACCCCACACATGCTCAGTTTCCCTGGAAGTCACTGCCAGTTGCCCAATAACTTCCTAACACTTTGTTAAGACACAACGTACATACAGAATAGTATCCCTAAGTATACAGCACATTGAATTTCTGCAAACTAAACATACTGTGTAACCAGTGCCCCGATCAAGAAACAGTGCAGTACAAGTAGCTCAAAAGCCTTCCTTGTGCCCCCTTTCTAGAAACAAACTAATGAGATATCAATGCATTGGTTGTAACTTATAAATCTGTAGGGTACCTTGCAGGATTAACTTGTTGCCCTAAATATTTGTGGTAAGATTTATGTACTGGATTGTTGTAGGCGGAGTAAGTACATGACTTTTTAACATTAGGAAAAAAATCTTTAAATCCTTAAAGAAGATAGAGGCCTTGGAAAGGAATTCTATATAAGTGTCTTAAAGCAGATAGAGCTATATGTACACATTGAATATGACACTCAAATAATCCAATGGCTTTATGGGATTTACCGAGATCCGGCTCTGTAATGTGTAAAGAGCACAAGTCACTGGATCAACTGAGGATGATTCAAAAGCGAGATGGGCCTTTAATCCCTGGGAAGTGTATGTTCTTCCCTTAGTGGCTTCACTACCTGACGGCTGATGAGTAAATCAACATCTGGAGCAAAGCCAAGGAAGCAGAAAGGAGTCTGAATTTACTTCCTTGCCTCCAGGCAGGGTCTGACCAACTCAAAATAAGTAAGTAACTAACTAACTAAATAAATAAATGTGTGTTTCTCTCCTGTGCACCTCTCTTCAGAAACCAACACAGAAAAATTAATCAGACTATGGCTATTAAAAGAGAGACCACACACTAATCCACTTAAGAACAATTTACTCTTTTCCAGTCACTTCCAAGTGGCCAAGGTGATGACTTCACATGCCATAGTCACAGTGCATTGCTGTCTGAGGTCCCATCAGTGGGACAGATAGCTGCAAAGGTAAAACTCTAACAATTGCTTTAAAATGATAATGAGCCTTCTTTGAGGGAGTTGGATGCAATGTATTGATACGTAAACTTAATATAAAATATGGAGAGTAATGTTTCAAAATACTGAGCTTTCTTCTCCTCGTAAGAACCTTCCTACCACCTGCAAACTCTTCTAACATGCAAGCTCTCACTATTGATAAGCAGAGGTTTACAATGATAAGAAGCTTACAGGCATTAATCTGAGATGAGGAAGGAATAAAAACCTTCCCAGAGTCCCAAATGCCCATAGGTTGGGGCAGGTAAACAAACCAAAGCTCAGAGAGAACCTGGTGTCACCTTTAATGTCTCTACAGAGCAAGTTCCACCTACCTTGGAGGGATGCCTGTTTTTAAATACTCTTTCAGGAGACTGACATCAGCAAGAGAGAAAAACTTCTTTTCCATCAACCGGAAAGGAACACTGCAGGCATCCACAATGAGGAGGAAGACACCCGCACTCCGGAAGGGAAAGTCGGTGCCGTTGACCTGAGAATACAAGTGTCATCACCGTTTCAGTGTCCTCAGGATGACTTGTCTTTCCAGTCTCATCCCTCTGTCTCTTAATCCACACATCAAATTACATCCAGGAGTCAGATTCTACATTGTATTTACTCTCTCTGCCAATATTTGAAACTGTGCTATGTCCTCGTAGACTTGGCTTTGACTGGACTTTACTGACTGGGTAGGATGCTCTGAGCACAAGCTGGCAGCCCACACTCAGCTGGGCAGGGTGACTCTCCCTGCAGGTTCAAGGGCTTCACTCTTACACACATGCTCTTTACAGGAGTCAAAGCTTTTCAACGCAGCAATCACGAGGCAGCCTTTACATTGCAGCTCCGCTCACTTACTGTCACATTGGTTCAGAAAACTTATAACCCCCTCACATTGGGACCATCAGAGGAGCCAGACTGCCTCATCTCCTTCTTTTCCTATATGGCTGCCCTTTGAAATCAAAGTGGAAAGGTGGGTAATTTTACAGGACTTAAGCCACAAATATATGTTCAGTCATCCTCTTTAAAGTAATGGTTTGAGGCCTTTTCAAGAAAAAGGAACTCTAGCCATATCCAAATATCATTAATTCCTCAGCCAAAAAGAAGGAAAAAAACCTTACCAGATTGAAAAATGATTCAACACTGTTTAAATTTTGTAAAATTATAAACTACACTAAAAGCTAACAAAGAAGAAATACTCTCAGCATTACCCCTATCCTTCCCTGGGGAAATTACATTCAAATTTTATTCCTAATCATTACTAATCTCCCAGGAAGCAAAATGGTCTTTTAGCTGTGTTTAAATTGCTCTAATTCAGAAAATTATTCTGGAAATGCTTTAAGTGCAGTTTTATATTTGGAAAGACTGGAAGTGATGTTCCTATTTTCAAAAATCTAAATACTTAAAATTGAAATACATTTGAGAAAAAATAGAAAATAATCTCCAACTCAAACTGTCGTCTTAAAAAGAACTATCTCCCCCAAAACTTATTGCTTAAAGAAAACACCAAACTTTCCTTGAAAACGAAATAAAGCAATGCCATGTTCTAGCAAAGGCTCTTCAGGTAATGCATCAGAAAAGTACTGGTGGCAAATGACAAAAAAGTGTCCTATGACTTTTCTAGGGTCCCAGGGACCTTGTGTACAGAAACAGAATTAGGCAGTGTCTCCAGACCCCCTGGAGTAGTCTGTATGACATTTTTGAGGCAAAACATATCTTCTTATCTAGTGAGCACACAGCCCCTGAGGGAATACAGCCATTACCATTGTTCAGTGTCCAATAATGACCAGATGTATCATGGTGACCCCATCGTGAGGTTATAAATGTAGAATCACTCTGCGGCACACCTGGAACTGATCTATTGTATACCAACTACACTGTCATTTCAATATTTTATCTACTGACCTAGTAGAGCAGCAAGCACTCGGCACTTGCTGCCTTTCTACATCGGACTCCCACCAGATCTTCAGAGCGTATGCATCGTACTCAACTGAACTTTATGTCTGTTGATTAATAACTCCCCATTTCTCACTCCCCCTAAGTGGGAATACTCTTAATTCAGAGATGTTAAAATGTCCAATTTATGTTCTGGAGATGGGGGGCAGGGATGGTCACACAACCATATGAGTGTATTTCGTACCACTGAACTCTCTGTATATTTAAAATGGGGAGGATGGTGAATTTGATGTTACAGATATTTTAACACAGTAAGAAATTAAGAAACAAAGGGTAACACAATTTTTTCCACACTTATGTGGACTTGTGACTGTGTTGCCCATGACTTTAAAAAACAAACAGAGGTCCTGAAGAGACCACATGAGACTAGGCCCAGGCCCTGGCTAGAAATAGCCAGATGGCAAGACATCTGCTCCCCAAAGAGCTCTTTATATGATGGCTCTCTCGAGTCAACCTGACTTTGAACAGGCCGTGTCAAGAGCCAGTTACCTCTGGCCAGCGTGCCTCCTAGCCCAAATTCTAATGCTGACACTGAGGCTCAGGCCGATACTTCCTTTAACCCATGCAGGAAGGACAACCAATACTCTGAATCTTCACTTTCCTAGTCTTAAAAAATGGGAGCCAGGCAACCACAAACTAAGCAGCCAAGTAAAAAACTTAAGACTCATTTCCCACATTTTTAACAAACAACTTGAAAGCTCCTTCCAAATTTCAAAAATCAAAGTTAAACACGGTTTCCTACATTTTGATTGCCTGTGGAAGTTATTTTTTAATCAAAGATGCCTTTTCTTTTTTAGAAATGAAATTGGGGTCACCTGTTACACCGTTAATGGATGAAAAGTAATGTGAACAATTTAACATTTGCCTAAAAGTTATCAATAAATACAATCTACTGAGAAAAAAACTGTAATATATTTACCTAAAAACATAAATGCCTAGGAGGTATAAATACCTCTATTGTACAGCTTGTCCCCAAAAACCAAAAATGTGATTACAAACAAGTGATTGTTCCCAGAAATAATCAGGTCACCAGGGTGAAACATCAAAGCGAGAAGCTAAAGCAGTACACAGGCCAGAAGGTACTTACGGAGATAACTGATCGGTCTCCACGCTGAGTCTCCGCCTTACCGGGTGACTGGAATTGCACGGGGAGGTAGCTTTTATGAGGATCACTAGTAAATACCATCTAAACAGGAAAGAAGTGCCATAATTATGTCAACTGTGTTTTCCTCAAAGAGCGTGCCTCAGTATAAACTCAATCACAACAAATGAGTGGGGTTTTTTTCCCCTCTCAACTTTTTATACCTATTTCATGACCTGGAATTCTTTATATAGGTTTAACCTGAGAAGGGCATGTTCCTCATTTTCTGAAACAATACCAGTTTCAAATAATTGCAATCTTGTTAATAAAATCAATTCTACAAATGACTAAATAAGTGTGTTTTGTATTTACATCTTTGTAAACATTTTATGCAGATCTTTTTAAAGATCCTTTTCAGACCAGTTATTCTGAATTGGGACTCAGTCACTCCAGGATTGAGGAAATAAGTATAGATGACAAGTTTAAAAACCTTTAGTAGCCTTGTGCATCACCAGATCTAAATTCCTCTGCCTGACCTGCAAAGTGTCACATAAATTCAGTCACACCTGATATACAGGCTCCTGTTTCCCACTATCCCATCGCATTCAACAGACAGGGCAGTTCCCTCCTTTTCCCACAAGCGCTTTACCTCCTTTCCTGACACTCTTTGCCTTTGCAGATGCTGTTTCCTCCCCAAAGTGTCCTTCCCTATTTCCTTCTCTTCAAAACCACTCCCAGCCTCCAAGTCCTACCTCCTACCTCCTTCCTAAAGGCTCTCTTATCATTCACAAGCACTCTTAACTCTCACACAAGAGAACCTAAACACTTCAGGTGCTCTTAGACCTAAAGTATATGTCCTAATTGATATAGCAACTTCATTGCAAGGGCAACTAATCATCGGACACTAAGTATTCTAAAGCTGGATGTTTCTTTGAAGTCTCAGGTTTGGGGTCAAACATTCACATGATTTTTCCTACTTACTCCTACATACGAGGTCTGTCCGGAAAAAGTCCAGGCATTGTTAATATAACAAGAACAGTTTGCACAACATCAACATAACCTGGCATGCCGAGAGTAGACAGGAATGTGCATGCGTGAACCATGATGACTTCACTGTACTAGTCAGTGGGAGTGGTAGCCACCATTAAGTGAACAATGTGTGGCCATTGCATTTAAAATGACTGAGTGAGTAGAGCAACAAAATCTGCATCCAATTTTGTGCTAAGCTTAAACATTCCTCCACAAAAATTATTCAAATGATTCAGAAGGCCACAGCTATGGGCAGCTGCTGATTGGCAGCTTTATCACAGCAAAGTGCCTGCTCATGTATCATGTCTCATGCGGAGTTTTTTGGCCAAACGTCAAATGACCCAGGTGACTCAGCCCCCTTACAGCCCAGATTTGGCACCCTGAGACTTCTGGCTTTTTCCAAAACTAAACTCACCTATGAAAGGGAAGAAATTTTCAGACCACTGATGAGACTCAGGAAAATACCAACAGGGCAGCTGATGGCGATTGGGAGAACTGTGTGAAGTCCCAAGATATCTACTTTGAAGGGGACTGAGCTGCCATTGTCCTATGTAGTGTTTCTTGTGTCTTGCATCTTTTTCAATAAATATCTCTATGTTTCACAGTACATGGCTGGATACCTTCTGGACAGACCTCATATATTTTGTTTTTGATATTCAAACCAAATTTACCCTCAAATTTCCAAGTAAAAGAGATGTCCCCAGATGCTTCAAATACTTTGCAACTGCACTGTCAGTAATCATTGCATTTTTACAAATGAATTGCAATCAATGCTTCAAGCACAAAGAATAAAGAATGCTAAACATTAATGCATGAGACCATTTCACAAGATAGGCCAATGATGATTAAGTTATTTTTATGTTATAACATTTATTATAATTATCATAAATTATATAAAGTCTTCTCAGTAATAAAGGACTTTCTCAACAAACTCAGCCAATGATTTAGGCTGGAGCATTTACTTCTCCACAAAATCAACTAAAAATGTCACTTTAACTGTCAAAATACTGCATGGGATAGGCAAGGACTCATATAAACTTCTTCAGGTACACAGCTTTTTTGTTTGTTTGTTTTGTTTTTGTTTTAGTTGAACTGGAGAATGGAGGTGGCACAAGGATATGAGACCGTAACTCACAGTGAGTTGCATGCTGGTACTCATCACATACAACAGGAAGCATAATCCATATTCCTTTCCCTCTCTATGCCACCAGTGGCCAGAAACAAATGAGGAAAATGAGAAATAAAGAACCTAATCAGTGAAGGAATTTTTGTTTTCTAAAATCATTTAGAATGGAAAAATTTAGAGGTTTCCTCCATATTAATAGGCAGTATGCGCTACTGTGGCAATTCTTGCTTTAAGAAAAAGTATCTAGCCCAGTGCAATTCCAATGTGGACACATATCAGAACACCCTACAAGCCTTATTAAAGCACAGACTGCTGGCCACTCCCCACACCCAGTATTTCTGGTTTAGTAAGACTGGTATTAGGTCCAAGAATCATCAAGTGATGCTGTCACTGCTGGTTAGTGGACCACATTTTGAGAACCATTTCCCTTACCCATATTTGTTTATACAAAGATTAAGTATTAGTTAGGGTGGTAATAAGTCTATACTTCTTTTGCACTTGGAACTGATCTGACTTCCTTTGGAACCCCATGCCTGATTTTAAGTCATATTTTGGATGTACTTTCATTGCCATGCTTCTTCAAGAACCACAAGAAGTCCATCTACTTAAAAATATGTCAGGAGAAGCATTTCACATCTAACCAGAGTCAGTTTGTACTTTTAATTACAGGTAAATGTAATAGCAGATGCTTCAAAATTAAGAGTGGCTTTCCACCTTCAAAAAAGAAAATGATTTCCATGAGTTGCATTTTCAGGAGAGAAATTTCACACTGCCAATAAAACAAAGTATTTTTCTACATCACTGACATGTAAACCCAGAAAAAAGACTCTAACAGAATCATATCTGAGAAAGAAAGAATAACCACCAATAAATGCACAGTCATCCACAGTAAACTGATGTATCACAGAGGGAAGGTATTTTTATTATAATTTGGACAAGTTGGCTTCTTATGAGTATTACATTCTAGAATGGGCCAACATTCAGGAGAAACCATGCAATATTTATAAACTGGAAACACAGCTATTTCCAAAAAAAATAAAGTACACCTATTACAAGGAACCTTTTGACTTTTTCTCAGGGCCACAGCCCACGTTTCATGCTCATTTACCTGATGGGTCCCACAGCCCTGACAGGGTTTCGTGAGCATGGCTGGCATCCGCTTGATTGCCGACGGCTTTCTGTAATACTGGGGATATGCTTTGGCCATGCAGTTACTGGTGTCTTTTGAGTCTGTTGTTGCCTGGACCTTGACTCTTTCGCATCCCTGAGTTGAACAGTAACTGTGGCCATCCCGGTGGCCTTGGGCTTTGAGATACAAAAACAGCAACCTGCACAAAACAGAGAGCAATCCATTGAGTATTAGACTGACTCTCAAAAACTTACATGCACAAAAAAATTCCTCAAATTAACTCATGGCCGAAAGGATATTCCTCTAATAAGCTAAATTTTCCCTATAATAAAAATAAATTACAAAGCTAATATAATTGTTTCTCTTTCCTTTCTATCCCCCTACACAACTAAATTCAATACTCCTGTAGAAAATACAGTGGTGACCTAACACAGCTGTTATAGAAGATATCAAAGCTGATTTCTGGTTTGAATTAATTCAACAAGTGATTTGAAAGGGTAGAATATGGCTTGTCTCAAGAATTCCTTAGAACACTTTATACTTGTGTTGAGTTTAGAATTTAGTGCACTAGCATGGTTTATTCTTTCTTTCTTTGTTTCTCTCTTTTTTTGGTTTATAAATCACTTTAGTTTAAAGCACAAAATTCAAATAAAAACAGAAACTGTGATTCATTTGGCTTAGACTAAGAAATAGTTTGAAATCAATTCCTATGATGTCTACTAAGCTCAGATGGGCCTGAGGTCCTTCTGTCTGTACTTTGGCCAAAATCAAATGAAATGAGCAGTCCCACGGACTCCAAATTATCCTCCTACTGCCAAGATGAATGGAGAAGTAACTTCCAGGCAGCAGCCCAACATGCCTCAGCAAACCTAGTCCTCCTAAAGCAAAGGAAGTCAAGGTTGATCAGATGTGACTGATTACTGAAGATCAAGAACTCACATTTTTTAATACGAGGTCAGTGAACAATGCAAAGTAGCAGTTATGAGGTAAAAATCAGCCATTGTCCCAACATCCAGTAATTTTAACATAAATATATATATAAGGAATGGCACAAACCTGATTAGCATGGGCCTTCTGATGTATAATTAAAGTCATCAAAATGAACAGAATTAAAAAGAATTATAACCCCAAAGGATAAGGGATTCTAGGAATACCCAGATGATAACACATTTCCCATCTTTTTACACATTTAATCATTAATTTGTGATCACCAGACTGTCCTTACAAATTTGGTTGTTCTATTTGTTTTTGTGAAAAATCAACTGAGAACATGGAAGTTCTGTCATGTATAGATTAAAAGTCCAAGTAGGTTAAGTCTAATTACAAACTGAAAATCAAAGGTAACTACAATAAAAAAAAAAAGATTTAAACTAATCACACTGACTGCTGGAGGGACCCGGGAGGGCAAATAAGTTGCATCTTATTCAAAGCCTAACAAGGCACTTGACTGAACCCCCAACCTTGTTCCCCAATCAAACTTGCCACCCTCACCCCAGTCTGAATGTTTGTCTTCCCCCGAACATGCCATGCCACGTTCTTCCATGCCTCCATGCATTCATCCATATTGTTCTTGGGACAATTCACCCATTTCTTTTCCCATCTCCTCCTACTTATTCCTCAAGAGTTCACCCCTGTGTCACTCTCTTGGATGTCACTAATTACCTTAGGCTAAACTTCTGGGCTATGTCAAAAGGTACACTAAATATCCCACAATAGGACTTTTAGCATTATACTTTTCACTTTCCAGTTACCTACTTTAAATGCCCACATCCTTCAATGGTCTATGAATTTGCAGAAGAAATGCATCTCATTTGCATTAGTATCTTTACTATGTTACCTAGGCGATGGCATGTAGGTGGAATATCAGCTTAGGGAATGGCTAAGGAGCATGCTAGTTGCTGGAAGAGTACGGAGATTGAGCCTACCATCACCCAAAGGCTGAGAGACTGTAACTGGATAAGAGCAGACAAAGCCAACAGGACCCCAGATGAACAGGATTAGAATTAAAAAGTGGAAAGATGCAGCCTAGAGAAAGTTGAAAGCAAACATGCCATGGTTAAACAGTGATTTTGTTTTAAAACTCAAGGTCAACTTGAGAGATAGCTTTAAAGGAAAAAAAAGCTTTCATTGAGATATGAATTATATCTATCATATGTAAATAATCATCTAAAAGAGTTGTTATGGAAAAGAAATAAGTTTAAGTTTCAATTGGGCCTACTGATTCTTTATTGACAAGGATAATTTCCCTCTCTAAATTCCTTTAATAGGCATACGAAAAACATCTTCACTCACTTCCCACTGCCGACTATAATTATGAGTCATTCTAGTCCTCTAAGCCTGTAATAGTGGATGAGCAGAGAATTACCCGCATCAGCTGCTTGTCTAAAGAGCCATCACATCATAGCCTATTCTTAGTTAGGCTGAAGAACTAGTAATTTCACCATTAAAGAAAAATAGCAACAACTCTCATTCACTAGTTACACTGAATTACCCCGTGCCAGAGTCAAAATAGAATTTCCTCTCAGACTGCTTCTTCTGCAATTCTTCCAGTGAATTCACACGCTCATATTCTTCCATTTTGGATAAGGAGCCATTATGCCGCTGTAAAAAGCCAAAACTAATCTGAAAACTTGTGTTTGATGGATAGCAGAGGCCAACTCGAATCCAGTCATTCCTATCAGAGAGAGAAAATTAAAAAATGAATTCACAGTTGAGCCAATATATTTTGGGCATTACAGCATATGTAAATATCAGCCATGATTTTTCTCCTTAAATGTCTACTGCGTGTTGAGCCACTAACAATGGAAGTCCTACGCCCTGACTAACAAATCATCCACCTTTAAATGTTACCCAAATTTCTCCTGTCAACAGATGTACAACAATCACATGGCTTACAGTAACTTTCTGGTTTCAACAGGATATGCAGGAATGTGAGTAGGAGTTGAATAAGACGGACTTAGACTCTACCAGAGGATAATACCATTAAGTGAGATGGTCAGAGTGGCCTGATAGTAGAAGTATACATTGGTAAAATCTTTCCAAAGAATCTTTTTGTTCTTAAATCAATTTTTACCTTTATTATTACATTAGGATAAATACCTAGTGTGGTGAAATCTGAATATAAAGGTATGTATATTTGTAAAGCTTTTGATGCATGGGACCAAACTGCCATAGTCTTTTTTCTTACCTAAAATCCTTAGATATAAAATTAATACTTTTTAAAACCATTAAAATATTTCCCCTTTTTATCATTTGCTTTTGGGGGTATATTTTAATTGTGGTAAAATATGCATAATATAAAATTTACCATTTTAGCCATTTTAACTGTACAGTTCACTGGTATTAAGTTTATTCATAAGATTATGCAAACATCACCATTATCCATTTCCAGAACTTAAATCATTCCAAAGAATTTTTAAACAATAGGTAAAAAGGCCTTAAAATTGTTCACATAGGTTCCACTCACTAATCCCTCTAAAGAATAATTACAAATAGAGACCAAAATGTACTTTAAAAAGATGTTCTTGGCTTCACAGGCGAATTTCACCAAACATTCAAAGAACTAACACCTATCCTTCTCAAACTATTCCAAAAAATTCAAGAAGAGGGAAGACTCCCCAACTCTTTTCATGAGGCCAGTATTATATTAATCCCAAAAGTAGGTAAAGACACAACAATGAAAGAAAATTACAGGCCAATATCTCTGATGAACACAGATGCTAAAATCCTCAACAAAGTACTAACAAACCAGATTCAACAACACATTCAAAAGATCATACACCATGATCAAGTGGGATTTATTCCAGGGATGCAAGGATGGTACAATATTCACCAATCAGTAAATGTGATACATCACATAAACAAAATGAAAGACAAAAATTGCACAATCATATTAGCAGATGCTGAAAAAGCATTTTATTAAAATCTAGTACCCATTTATGATAAAAACACTCAGCAAAGTGAAAATAGAGGATATACCTCAATATAATAAAGGCCATATATGAAAAACCTACATTCAACGTCATACTCAAGGGACAAAAACTAAATGTTTCCCTTAAGATCAGGAGCAAGAGAAGGGTGTCTGCTTTCAGTCTGCTTTCACCACTCTTACTCAACAAAGTACGGGAGGTCCTAGCCACAGTGATCAGACAAGAAGAAGAAATAAAAGGCATCCAAATCAGAAAGAAGGAAGTAAAACTGTCATTTGCAGACAAGATGAAAACCCTGTAAGCTCCACCAAAAACTGCTCAGCCTATTAAGTGAATTTGGCAAAGGAGCGGGATACAAAGTCAATATTCAGAAATCAATGGCATTTTTGTACACTGACAATGAAATATCAGCAAGAGAAATTAAGAGAAAAATCCTATTTACTATAGCAACAACAACAACAAAGAAGTACCTAGGAATAAATTTAACAAAGGAGGTAAAAGACCTGTACTCACAAAAATATAGAACACTGAAGAAAGAAATTCAGGAAGACACAAATAAATGGAAGTATATACCCTATTTGTGGATTGGAAGAATTAACATCATTAAAATGTCCATAATACCCAAAGCAATCTATATATTTAACATAATTCTTATTAAAATACCAATAGCATAATTCACTAATCTAGAACAAATACTTCAAAAGTTTACATGAAACCAAAAAAGACCCTGCATAGCCCCAGCAATCTTGAGGAAAGAAGAACAAAGTTAGAGAGATCACAATACCTGGTATCAAACTATACTACAAGGCCACTATAATCAAAACAGCCTGGTACTGGCTTAAGAACAGATACATAGGTCAATGGAACAGAACAGAGAGCCCAGAAATAAACCCATGTCTCTAGGGTCAATTAATATTTAACAAAGGAGGCATGAGCATACAATGGAGTAAAAATAACCTCTTCAAAAATGGTGTTGGGATAACTGGACAGCTTCATGCAAAAAATGAAACTAGACCACCAACTTACATCATATACCAGAAAAACTCAAAGTTAATTTTAAAAAACTTAAATATAAGTTGTGATACCATAAAAGTCCTAGCAGAAAACATAGGCAATAAAATTTCAGTTACCCCATGTAGCAATATTTTTGCCAATATATCCCCTAGGGCAAGGGAAGTAAAGGGAAAATAAACAAATAGAACTACATCAATTAGAAAGTGTCTGTCTGCACAGCTAAAGAAACCAACTTCCAAATGAAAAGGGTGAACATATTTGCCAATGATACATCAGACAGGGGTTTAACCTCCAAAATATATAAAGAACTCACAAGACTCCACACCAGGAAGACAATCCAATTAATAAATGGGCAAAGCACCTGAATATACACTTCTGCGAGGAGGACATACAGATGGACCATAAACATATGAAAAAATGTTCAACATCACTAGCCATTAGAGAGATGCAAATTAAAACCACAATGAGATATGTCCTTATATCTGTTAGAATAGCCATCATCAATAAATCAAAAACAAGTGCTGGTGAGGATGTGGAGAAAAGGGAACCCTAGTGCACTGTCTGTGGGAATGCAGACTGGTGCAGACACTGTGGAAAACAGTATGAAATTTCCTCAAAAAACTAAAAATGGAACTGCCATTTGACCCAGCAATTCCACTGCTGGGAATATACCTTAAGAATCCAGAAACACTAATTCAGAGGAACTTATGTACTCCTATGTTCATAGCAACGCTACATACAATAGCCAAGTGTTGGAAACAGCCTAAGTGCCCATCAGTAGATGAATGGATTAAAAACTGTGGTACATTCACACGATGGAATTCTATGCAGCAGAAAGAAAGAAGGAGCTCCTACCCTTTGCGGCAGCATGGATAGAACTGGAGTTCACTTAGAACTATGCTAAGTGAAATAGGCTAGTCAGTGAAAGATAAATACAATATGATCTGACTTATAAGAGGACTCTAATGAACAAAATAAACTAAAAGCAGAACACAATCAGAGACATGGAAACAGAGAACAGACAGACAGCTGCCAGAGCAAAGAGTGGTGGGGGGAATGGTAGAAAGAAGGGTAAGGGATTAGTCATAAAATATGTATGAATGATCCATGGACAACAGAGTGGGATGGGCCATGGGAGCAGGGGATGGGCTGGATGGAGGAGGACCAAAGGGGAAAAATGGGGACAACTCTAACAGAATAAAAATGTAAAAAACTAAAATGTTCTCTGTGGTTTACTTATTTATCTTATATTTTATTTATTTGCTTTTTAGAGAGGAGAAGGGAAGGAGAGAGGGAGAGAAAGAGCAATGTGTGAGAGATATATTGATCAGTTGACTCTCACACGCCCCCAAATGGGGACCTGGCCCGCAACTCAGTCATGTGCCCTGACTGGGGATCAAACTGGTGGTCTTTTAGTTTGCAGGCCAGCACTCAATCCAGTGAGCCACACCAGACAGGGCTGTGGTATATTTGTAATAGCAAAGGGAGAGGTGGGCAGGAGAAAAACAACCTAAATTTATATGGGGTAAGACAGTAGTTAAATAAATTTTGATACATCTACATGCTCAGAAAACATTTGAGGGTAGAGAAAGAGAACACTATAAATGTTTGCAATGCCTTACACTGGTTAGGAGAATTATAGGTTATTTCAATTTTCTTTATGTTTTTCTGCATTTTCCTTATTTTGTTGAATGAATAAGTACAGCTATTATAACCTTTAAAGTGTTATTTTCCGAAGTGGCACTATGACAAAATCTATGACCTCTCTATAATTATATTAAATTTGGAAAAATAAGATTGCCCATCTCTTCCTCTTGCCTCTGCCCATGATGTAATTTTTACAAACTTTCAGCTAATTAAACAGGGAAAGTTTGACTGAATTTCAAAGCCATGTGAATTTTTGAAACTTCTAGGTTCTGCCTTTTTTCACTTTAAAATGTTTTTACTTGGTATTTGTTCAAAAGTTGTACATGACACTGACAGAACCCTATATACCATTTGGTTGTAATATCTCTCCTAAAATTCATAACCTGCCAGATATAAGTTTTTGGATTAGTGATCACTTTTTGATATTTCTCATCAGTCTTCTCCGACCTTACTTGCTTCTTTCATTGGCTGCACTGCAGCTCACTGACAGGAGTGATAATATCGGGTTGGCTTTTAGAAACCTCACCCTGGACACAATGTGGACTAAGGACTAGAGGTAGGGAGACCAAGCAGGACTCAGACAAATGATGATGATGGCCTAAACTCAGCCACAAACAGTGGGGGTGGAAAGAAGTGGAGAGATTGGAACCACATTGAAGACACAGAACTAGCCGGGTTTGGTCACTGATGAGAGGGATAAGGAAAAAGGAAGCGAGAAGGATGAGTGCTGGGACTTGTGGCTTTATTGACTCAGCAGGTGGGGTGCGACTCTCCAGCAAGGACACAGAAAAGCAGCAAGTGTCATAGGGAAATAGTAATGGTTCTGGGGAGAGCTTGGGTCAGGGACCTCACTTCTCAGAATAAGAGCATCCACCATGGCATTCACCAATCCTTGGAAGTGACCTGCTCAGAACTGACTTCCTACATATTCTGTGTCCACCTCTTATCTGAGCAGTTTCATGGAGTCACAAGGGCTAGCCACCATACAGATCTGGACTGATTTAACTCTGCCTTTCAAAAGTGTACCCTCTTTCCTGTCTAGTTTCACCTCTTGTTGTTTCCCCCAACACACCCTATGCTCCCACCACACTGCATCCATCAGTCCCTGAACAGAACTAGCCCTCCCCCAGCTCTGTTGCTTTTGTAACAAGACAGATCACTCAGTATCACTTTCTCAGCACAGCCTGGCCCAACTCCCTTAGGCAGAAATAGTTGCTTTACCCTTTGTCCATTAAAAAAATTGTACTGGTTTATCAATTTTCTCGAGTTTTTTTGTACCTGTATACTGTGAGCTCCTAGAGGACAAGTACTTTTCTCACTCGTCATTTTATGGCACACAGTAAATACTTAAATAAATTAATGTAAACATTGAGCCTTTGATTGTAAGTGGTATTATTTGGCAGACAACTGAGAAATCAAGAAGGGATATAAAATGCTTTCAGGCAGGAGTGGTAAATACCCAGCATTCATGCCGCAAACCTCGTCCTCTTACCCACAACAGACATTACTAATGAATCACACCATTATCTCTTCTGTCAAATCTAAACTTGGCCTCAAAAAAAAAAAATCCTTTTATTTCCTAGGTAATCAATTGCTCAGTTTGAATACCACATAAAACTTTTTCCCGTCCTTCTCCTGGCTGGTGTGGCTCAGTGGATTGAGTGCTGGCCTGCGAACCAAAGGGTCACTGGTTTGATTCCTAGTCAGGGCACATGCCTGGGTTGTGGGCCAGGTCCCCTGTAGGGGGCACACAAGAGGCAACCATACAATGACGTTTCTCTCCCTTTCTCCTTCCTTTCCCCCCTCTCTAAAAATAAATAAATAAAAATCTTTTAAAAGAAGGCAAAACTTCCCATATCCCAACTAAAGGGAATTAAAGTGTTCAGCAGACTATATTAGAACCTATTGGTAAATGGCTTTCTGTACACAGAAACTTGACCACAGTAAAAAAGAAATGCTTTTCAAAATGAAAAGATTCAATTTGTGTAATCTCTTAATCTCATCCACATAAAATATACAGCCTCCCTCTGAGAGGAATGAAGCAGATGAAATCAGCATTGTTATTTATCATTTTTTCTCCACTAAATTCCTACTTGCTCAACTATTTGAAATAAGAGTAATGGAAGCATACTTGTTGAAATTTATGAGGTATAGAAACACAGTCTTCGGCGCCGGCCCATTCCAGTGGATGGTATACCCCTTCTCCAGCATGATCACAGGCTGGTACTGTGGAAAGGCAGCCTTCTGGTTAATGCCCCGAAGCACCATCGGGTAGGATGGATACTCGTCTCGTGTGATGGTCATAGTCAGATTCTGAGTGCTCCGTGTCTGCACATAGACCTTTAAGAAATGAATTAAGAATTAAGGGGAAGAGCATGAACAATTACAGAGCTAAAAACATTTCCAGTACAAATGCAAGTATCTGTACTTTCAAAAGAAAGATTTGGTGATCTGTGCCAGACTAAACAAGTAGTAGCCAACTTCATCATAAGCCACACTTACAATGAAGCCTGCTTAAACTGAAATGGTGAAAACAGACCATGTGTTCTAGTGGCCAAGACTGTCATCATCTCTTCCACCACAACAGGCCAGCTTATTCATCAGAATATAAAATCTCTGTGGCTTATGTAGCCTGTCAGAGAAATCCCTCAACTGAAGAATACACATACAAGAAATTAGTAAATTAATGTGAAAACTGATATCCTCTACTCAAATCTGAGAGACTTTCCTCTAAAACAAGAGAGGGAAAATGTAAATACTCTAGTTTTGGCTTTCAATTTTTCCATGACGTACATTAGCCCAAGAAGTCATTTTTTTAACCCCTTCAAAAAACGTGGGAGGTTATAAAGCACTCTGCAAAAACTGGAAAAACATATTAAACTGAGACTTATTTGAAAGTCCTGAATTTAGTCCAGTGGCACTTGAGCCCCTTGTTGTGCCAAAACAAAGTCTTCCCCGAATACATCCTCCAAAGAACAAACCTCAGAACAATTTTCTAAAACAAGTGAGTATCCTGTAACAGAGTTCCCCAGAAGTATTAAAACATTTGCAGAATATTGTATTTAAGCCACAATATGTCTATTTTTCTCTTCCAGTCATTTCTACAATTTTTCCCAACTAATTTCTCAAATATACATCCTTTGAGACAGAAAACCTTCTTAATTCTCATTCACATTTGACTACTTCAATACACTCTTCCCTACTGATACCACTTAAAAATTTAAAATAAAGAGACAGAAAATATATATTTTGAGGTTGTCTTTATTCAAATACCCACTTAATATATACTTGAATATATTACTTAAATAGATTTATATAACATAATTAAATATGCTTACACATACAATTAAATATAGTTTTTATATAATAGGTATATAAATGTAGGATACACACACACACACACACAATGTATATCCTGCCACCTTTCAAATCCAACAAGGTTTTAAAGCAGCACAGGTAACCTTAATTCTCCTTATGTTGCCACCTTTCTTCCTGAGCTCTTTTATCCCTTGGGTCATCAAAGAGCAGACATTCCATTAAAATAAACTTACAAATACCTAAATAATGCTTGTTCTGTCTTAAGATCTGCTTCTATCTTTGGCCTAAAAATATACAGTATCATCCATTAGCTCAGTAACAAGAAACATCTGCAGATCTGAGCTCCCAACCCAAATTCCAAATTTTCAGAAGAAGATATCTAACCCGTGGTCCTGGCATTCCCAGAGCCCCCTGGGAAATATCTTCATCTTAAAAAAAAAAAAATAGAATTACTACCCTGGTTTGTAAGATAGAGGGATCAAGCTCACAATCTCAAACATATTATAAACCAAAGAGTTTAAAGACCCATTGGTAATCATTTTAAAATAGAAAGTTCTCATTAGTGAGCACACATCATTTTAAGCTAGACACATGAGTGCACCTTTAAATACACACAAATAGCAACAAATTTCAATAAAACTGCAGCTACAAAAGGACTAAAAACTTTGTTTTTGTTATTTTAATTCTAGAATTTCTATCACTTCCTAGGTATTAATGAGTCAACTTAATTTTAGGAGACTATTATGATTAAGAATAAAATATATAGGAATGGGAAATCCCACAACAAAGAAGCTAATATTACATTTAAAAAAAAACACACAAAATCTCTCCAGTCTTTATCCTAATTAAGTCCTTTGTCTTGTCGATAGATAAAAATATTTTTAAAGTTCTTTTTTTTTACTTAAAAATCATAACATTCTTTAGCAGTCATGATCTAGAAATCAGAGGAGCAATAAAGAATTCTGCTCCAAGAAGCTTCCACTGTAAAAGGCATCGGTGGTTAAAAAACCAGAAGAGGTTCAAGAAGTTGAAATGCAGAAGCCCACGAATGCTCCTTGACAGGCAAAGTAGCCAGAGCTCGGGAAAGGGGCTTCATCACAGACTAGTCCTTCCCCAAGAACCCTCCTTAAAAATAAGAGCATCTGGCAGCAAACAGTCGAGGAAGACTTCTTTCCTGCCTTTGGGACTATCAGAGGCCAATTCCCCTTGGAAGATCCCTTACTGTTTGTTCCCTTAATTCTCCTGTCCGTGCTCTAATTCTTCTTTTTCCTTTATCTTTTTTCTTCCTTGATGTACAATATTAAATCCTACCATTTAATTGTATAAAATATGGAAATAAAATTTTGCTCCCTTCAACATTCTGGGCAACTGGTACCCCTGTCTGTAACCTCACCATCCATCCAAATATCACTATTAAAATCATTATTGCAACTTAGAGCTCTGTTCCCCAAATAATACTAATTGCAGCAAACACTTCACTATGTGCCAGGTTGTGGGCTAAATGTTTTACATAAAGCCATACTTTGTTTCTTCACAACAGCCTTGTATGAGAGGAACTAGTATTATCCTCATTGTGCATAGTCACAGAGCAGTTAATTAAATTGCTCAACTCATATTTAAGGAAATAATAAGCCAAACCCAGAGAGTGTGACTCAAGCATCTGTGCTCTTAACGTACTACCTTCCAAATGAATCAATCCTCTCATACCAGGCATCCAATTAATAAATGTACAGTAGCTTAACATTTCCAAAGAGGTGTTTCCAATCTATACCATCTCGTTCATGTTTTCATATTAATAGATAGTATATCATAATATAATTCAAAGAATTGCCTTGGATTCCTCCTTGTCCACTCATTTCTGATTCCCAGCTTTCTCTGGGAACACCTCACTTCCCATGTGATACTGATATTCTGCCCCAAAATTGAGATTCCCATATTTAATACAGATGACATTCCTGAAAGCAAAGAATAAAGCTCCCTCTCTGGGGGCAGAACTATAACATGGTGAAACCCTGGCCTACGACTCAGGAAATGCAGGTTCTCACCCCAACTACATCCCAACCATGTTTAACCAAGGGCAAACCATCTCGCCTCTCCTGGACTCAAGATTTGACTTGTTGAACTGGTTTGGAATTGGGGAGATTGAAATACAATTCTATGAGCTCATGGTTCCTATTGAATTTTTTCTTTTTTTTTTTTTCTAAAGAAAACAGGCTTTGGAAAGTATCGATCATGCTGAAGAGCTGAGGAGCACCCGTGGCAGAAGCAGTGACGTCAGGAGCCTAAAAGGAACCAGGCATCCTGAGGCATTGGCCTACCTGGGCATAGCTTCCACTGCAGACCACTGCGTTCCACTTGGTAACATTTACACAGCTAGGATGGCGGATCAGGTAGTTGTCAATTCTTCCCACATAAGCGTCCTTGTATCCTGTCACGGAGCCATCAATGTCATGAAATATGGAGTTCTTGTCACCATCCAGCTCACAATCTTCAAACCAGGGGCCAGGCTTTCCAAAGAAGACATTCAGAGAGACCTGATGGCAGTGAGAAACAAGGACATCTCAAAATGAAGGCTGCTGCAGTCTCAGTCAGCATCCCCTGCAAGGATCCTACTGCATGTGCATTCTAACTGCTGTCAGATTAAAGCAGTGCAGAGTCTCAGTTCATAGCTATCAACTAAGGCACCAAGTCAATCAAAACTTTCCATTAAATATGACATGGTTGGGAGGAAAAAATTTCCAAAGCCTTGTGGAGTTCAATTAACAAAGGTTAAAGGTCATCTTCAGTGGTCTACCTTTCTTCTAATTAAAAACTATTACCTGCTCTCCAGACAAAACTGATCTGTAGTAAAAGAAATTAGAATGGTTGTGGGAAGAGAAATTAAGCAGTCATACATATTTGTTAAAAATTACAAACTTTACACTTTAAATTTGTGCATTTGTCTGTATCAAAGTATACCTCGATTAAATAAAAATGTAAGTTTAACTCCCAAGCTAGTTAATCATTTTATTTCTCTCCAAGTGCTTTAGTTACTTGTTCATGTACCTCTCCCCTCTCACTAAAAAAATAACTATAGTCCCAAATTAAAACACAGTCTAAGCACTGCCTTAGTGTGAATAATAAAGTATTTAGAACAGGACCGGATATATCATAAGCATTTAATAAATGTTAGCTATTAAAATTCCATGAAGTTCCTTTCCTACCAGCTTCCATGGTCTTACTCACAGAAGTTCTGCACAGAGTGTAGCATATAATGACATTCAATATTTCCCCAATGACAAGTACAAGGGACAGGGGCCAAGCATAGGTCACCCTCTGCCAGAAGCTAGTAAGGCCCTTCACCACAAACCATGTGTTTCACACCAGCCGGTATCCCTCTCCTTTCCCAACCTCTTATCCTGTAGTTGTCCAGGGGGAGAGACCCAGACAAGTAACGCTCCATGCAGATCCCAAATCTCTTCATGGATCAGTACACTGAATTTCCCAAAACTGTGTCCTCTTTTCTTATGAAACTCTACAATCCTTTTCCCCATGTTATCACTTTAGGTCATTTTTCTTTTTAAGTTGTTACCTAAATGTTAAAAAATACCCTAGGTTACATGGAACTTCCATTCTCACCTTGAATTCAATGGGACATAGTGAAATTACGAGTTTCTTTGGCATATATTATATGTCTCCCTTCCCCGGGCCAGTCATAAAGACTTGGTATGAACCCTTTGTCTCTGTCTCTGTCTTTGGGAACGTGCCACCCCTCCTTCTCCCACCGCAGTCACCCACCATGGAGGAACTGTAAGGACATACTTACATGTGGACCGAACTTCACAAGGGAGATGTTATTTCTGGGGGTTATCTGCCAGGTGTTCTTCATGAGGAAGCCGATAGCACTGGTATGTCTATCTGGAGTTGGCACATATTTTTTGAATGTGCACCTGGTGAGATGAATGGGCCCGTCATAAATCTGAAAGCCTCTAATCGGGAAGGTCCTGTTGAAATACAAGGTTTTGTTTAATGCACATGGGTCCATTCCCTGAATAGCGCTTCACTTACATTATCTGTTTTATGCATACTGTTGAATACTCTGTAACCGCAAAACACAATTCTAGAACACAGTGGTAACCAACACAAGATACCTAATCAATGGAAATATACACTGTGGAGGGAAGGGCAAATAAACAGGAAAACAAAGGATAACGGACAGGTAAGTGCCATGGAGACAGTTAAAACACAGTAATACATTAGGGAAGGAGAGATGCTATTTTGGAGAGAATGGAGGGCTCTCTGAAAAGGTGACTTTTGCTTCCTTGAATCAACCAGTTGAGACCTTCTATTTGGTAATGCATATAACTTTAGTTTTGGTTCCAAAACCTCTAACATGAGAACAAAAGATGAATCTGTGCTTAAACTAAGAGAAGCGCCTTTCAAGCCACTAAAAGATAGTAATAAGGTAAAATGATACAGTCAAAAGTACACAAGTATAATTCCTGAAGGCTTACTATGGCTAGCTAGATTTAGAGATTAGTTTTATCCATTTTCTTCCTTTCTGTCCAAATACAAACACTTTAATCATATATTATTAACCAGAATTAACGTATAAAACCTATAATATTCTGTATCCCTTAGGTTTCTCCCCTATTAATTATTTGATGGAGTCGCACATGATTCCTATAGCAACTAATTAGTTTACAAATTGGCAGTGTTTTACAATATATGCTAGAAAAAAAATATCAAATTGCCTGGCTGAAAAAAACTACGCATCTTCGTGTATTTCTAAGGATCTATCCCAAAATAGTTCTCTTTCACAGAAAAAGTTGTACAGACACAGTCAAATAAAACTGGATCAATTCACCAACTGGAATCTGTTTCTGGAAAATTCTCCTTAGCGAGGAACCAATAAGCACTTTGTAGTAAAACTGGAGGCCAAGGCAAAATAAAAAGAATGAAATTGAATTGGCTGCCATCACATGGCAGCCCATCCCCCAACCAATACAGTTATTTCTTCTTTAATCTACACTGTAGAAGAGGCAGCTAGCTATAGCCCAGATGTGAAAAGCACAAAAGTGAAGCCAAAGTAACAGGGTTTAAATCCCACCTCAGCTACTTTTATTAAGTTATTCATAAGGTAGATGATGGCAATACCCACCTCACTGGGCTCTGTGAGGATTACGTGAGTAATAAAGTATCTAGAATAGGGCTGGATACATCATAAGATTTAATAAATGTTAGTTATTAAAATTCCATGAAGTTCCTTTCCTACCAGCTTCCATGGTCTTACTCACAGGAGCTCTGCACAGAGTGTAGCATATAATGACATTCAATATTTCCCCAATGACAAGCACAAGGGACAGGGGCCAAGCACAGGTCACCCTCTGCCAGAAGAGAGTAAGGCCCTTCCACCAACCCCAATGCCCCCAAAGCTACAGTCTCCTTGCCCCATCCCCCGGACCCATCCTAGCCCAATGTCCATATAACTTAGGGAATTGATGCTTCATAAATTCTGAGATTAGCTCTGAGACACGGTCTTTAGAACACTGGTTTTTCTCCACCTGGTTTTCTCACCAGTAAAATGAGGACAACTATAAACCGTGTCTTGAGAACTGAGAATGGATTAATTAGTTAATAGTTCCCTAAAAGCTCTGAAAAATCTTTCTAGTGCTAAGTGCTATTTTAATGACTCTTGATTATTTTAACAGAAAACATGCCAAAAGTCTACAACCGTGTCCCCTCCAACATCTGAAACACTGTTAATTTACAGCCGTGGTTAGGCTTTGAGTCAGCTTTGGCATCTGTCACCCCTTATTTTCTAGGACTCTTTTCAATAGGTAATTTCCTTTTTCCAGTGGCTATTTCTGAAAACCAACATCACAAATTAGGGAAAGCTGACCTAATGTCATAGTTTATGGTTTGGCAACTTTCTGTAGCTCAAGAAAGAAATTAAAAAAAAAGTCATCAGTTTATATAAAGTCTTATGTAAGGAATGAAAAAAAAAGACAGACAGGTTCCTTTGTTATAAAATTATTAATGAAATCTATAAAGTGTTTAATAGTTAATGCTCTGGAATTCCAAAGGATAACAGAAATAGTAACAGCAATAATAACAGTTGTAATAGTAATAAGGTGGGATAAGTGTCACAATGGGACCAAATCATCCAGAATTATTACAGAAACTTCCATAAGGATTAGGTTTTCACTTATTGTTTAAATTTAACTCTCCACTGGTAAAGCAATGCTTACCTATTCCTGGGTAATGTCCGAAGCTTCTGGTCTATTCCACCCGTGCCTACATACTTGTTCTGACCACCCAGAAAGCCGTAATTCCTGCTCTCCCCAACAAAGAGAGATTCAGATACCTCCTGGCTAGAACCTTCGTCACTTGGGAAACTTCCATCACTGTTAAAATAAGAATAATCACTAACCACACAGCTCTAGGAAACTTATTTCAATCGTCCAATAAAGGCAAGCTATAACTCAAACAGCTAAAAACTCTCGAAGCAGCCCATAGCTTTTACAAATACATATTATTGAGTTATCAGAAAGTGCTTCTAAACTGTGAAAATGTTGCCTTTTCTAAATTAATACAAATTAATTGTATTGTAAATTAGTGGTTTACAAATTAATTTAAACAAATGAAATTTAATTTAGCAGCAACAACTACTTTAGTCTTAAGCAACAGTATTGCAAATGAGGACAATAAACTCACCCTGAATACAACAATTAGATGGCAAGCATGTTTAACATGTCAATAAGAATCACTTACCAGGTGAATAATATATAACACAAAAAATTCAGTTCTTAAAGACCACTGAGAAATTTGACCAACTTCTAAGAAAGAAAATATGTAATGTGCTCCCAACATTTATTTCCTTCCTCTTTATTCCCACACTTTTTTAGATCTTTAATGCAATGCTCATGTATTTTCTTCTAAGCGAACAAACACGATGGGCCTATCCTTCCGTGGGATTCCAGCTCAATTTACCTACTACTTCGGTGTGAATTCAATTCTCATTAAAAATGTACTTTTGGCCCTCTAGCGGTACCAGGAAGAGGATGCTCTTTTTTTGTGTGTGCTAATAAATGATCTAACATTCCAGTGTGTTAGCCAAAAAGAAAAAAAATTTAAATTAAGGGTCATGTTACCTACAGCTTTAAAATCAGAGAAGTATAAAAATACAAACCTGGCAAAGGTGAGTCCTATTCCATTATCTGCAAATCTGTGAGAAAAAAAGATGGGGGACATTTCAATTTACCACATCGTGTAAGAGGAGGTATTCTCTCAATATTTAATTGTCACAAAATCCAGGAGGTTCCAATGTTTACTCTCCATGACCACAAAAATAAGTTTCACTTTCCAGTGACTAAAAGCACAGGCTGCACAGTGAAGGCACCTGATCCAAATCTCAGCTCTGCCAATTACCAGCTATGTGACCTTGGGCACATTACTCAACCTGACTCTCCCTCAGTTTTCTCACCCATAAGTTAAAATAACAATTTAAACTTCCTCATAGGATACTTAAGAGCATTACTCATACTAATTAATTTCAACCATTTAGAAAAATACCTGGCACATAGTAAGCAGTATGTAAGTATTAGCTGGCATTATTATTTTTATAATTAGTTTTAAAAACAATCATGGTAGTCTCTTCAAAACACTTCAACATTAATACCCAAGCTATTTCTACTGATTTAATATAATATCAATTTTTTGCATGATAAATGGCAGAGATGATGATAAAATGCCAAGAAGCCAATGTCAGTCAATGCCAGCCCCGCAAAAGTTTTTCTAGACTATTGAATACCAAATCGCAGCTCAATATACATCAGACTCGTAAAATTATATAAATGGAAAAAAGTGAGATGCTTGCTTCCTAGAGTCATAGTAAGACGTAAGTCAACACACTTAGTAAGGTGGAACTGACAACTTTTGTTTGGAATGGCAGTACAAGAGCATCAAAAAAAACTTTGCATTTCCAAGAGAAATGAAAAAAATCCAGGTAGTTACAAAATCTTCATTGAGTTCTCTGACACAGACCCCGCTTGTTATATGAAGTTAAATTCCCAGTTTCTGTTCCATCTCATCAAAAAACTTTCATGCCACCAGACAAGTTCAGTTCCAGTAAAAGCAGTTGAAGGAGACGATTCCAAGCGTTTGCAGTCTGTCACCACTAGCACACTCCCTCAGAGCTTGTCCTGTCTATTAGCAATAATAACACTGTTTCAGAAACCACCACTGTACTTTCAGTCAACTGGGTTTTCAAAGCAGGCGTAAGAACATAAATACATCAGTGTCATCAGATAATAACTTGGTACAGAATACCCACGCTGAATTCCGAACGAGGATGTCTCCCCCTCTGACCCAAGCTCCATGGTCATTATTTTTAAAAGCAATGAGCCTGTCAATCACAGCAGTAACACGTGGCTTTTCAGGATCACCATCCTCATGAGGCCGAAACCTTGGTGTTGAAAAAAAAAGGACTGTTTTAAAAAGTAATGAAAAGGCAGTGGACATCAGCTATTTACAATTGTAAGCTTAAATGTCAAAAAGATTTAAATTTGACCAAAAGTAAAAAAGAAAGCCTCTTAACATACAACTTCATTATTTGTATTTCAAATAATAGGAAAATAATTACACTTATTAACATAAATTTATGTAAATATGAAAATGTCCCTCAGATCTTCTGAGTTATTTTTTATTCAACTTATATAATAAAATGCACACCGGACACTGTAGAACATTCTAAACACACATTTAAAACAAAAAACAAAAAATAAAACTCCTCAGACTAGAAAAACTGGCATACTTTCACATTCTTAAGCTGTATGATAAGCTTAAGAATGTGAATACCTCTATGATAAGCTGTATGATAAGCTTAAGAATGTGAAAGTATTCACATTCTTAATATGAATACCTCTATAATACTAACATAAATTTACTAAATTAATTAATCATATATTTTAACATACATATATTTGAACTGAAAAGTGCTGGACTTGGTACTGGTGAAATATCTTAGATATAGAGATAAACTGGGTTTAATATCTTAAAAAGGCCTAAATTTAAAATATTGTTTTTAATTGACATATTAATTATAAAGACTACATTTTACTTTTCTCTTCCTTCTAAAACACTTAACAGGACCTTAATAAAGAGGTAAAAAAAAATTGTGTCAAAACTGTCCCCTATAACAACTCAAATAACACCATAAGGCCACCTATTTTTTAGAAAACCACTTCTATCTTAATCTTACAAAGCAGCAGGGGAGGGAGGGTGGGGGAGCAGGCAGACAGAAGACAACTAGACAGCTTTTCACAAAACCAATTCAGCACATTGAGCTTTTCATACAATCAAGAAACATCATTCATGCAAACGCTACTCCCAGTAACTGGCAGACAGTAGGTGCTCACTAAATGTGTATGACGGGAGAAGAAGCTATGCACAGGGAACAGCAAGTCCAAAGGCCCATAGGCATGAATGAGCTCAACACACTCAGGGAACAAGCAATCTGGCTGTTCCCTTATGGAGACTAAGGAGCAAGGGGGAAGAGGACAGAAAGCTGGGCATGCACCAGGCAATGATGTAGTTCTTTATTCTGAATGCCACAGGGGAAGCAGAGAATAGAATGGTGGTTGTCAGGGACTGGGTGAGGAGGAAATGGGAAGGGAACGGTTGAAAAGCATAAAGTTTTAGTTATGCAAGATAAATAAACTCTAGACATCTACCATACAGCACAGTGCTTATAGCTAAAAATACTGTATTGCATACTTAAAATGTACTACGGGAGTAATACTATAAGTGTTCTTGTGACAAAAAAAAAACTTTTACTTTAGGAAATAATAAAGGAGGTAGGAGGAAACTTGGGGAGGTGAGAGAGAGGTCTACGGCCTTGGTAGGTAATGATTTCAGGTGTATACGTATGCCCACACTCAGCGAGTTGTACATACATTAAATATACACAACTTTTTCCATGTAAACCACACCTCAATAAAGTAGGTGAATATAGAAAGATACATATGGTAGATAGAAGTGATGAAAAGCCATCAGAAACATGGACTCAGATAAGCGATATGACCAGACTTCATTTTTTTTTTAAGAAAGCGGTCACTAGCTGCTACTTGGTGAAAGCACTGTAGAGAACAGACCTTAAAGAGACCAGCCTGGAAAGCATTATCTCCACCCTTCGATTGTGCATATGACCCTTACGCTAAACAGCTCTCTAACCTAAGGGAGGAAAAGCCTGACTCTGCACCACCACCCACTCTTCTGGCATTGTAGTTGCTGCCAAAGAGCTTTGCAGTCATTATATAATATCAAGCAGATGAATGAGTTCTGGAAAGAAAACTAAACACAATGTTATAAAGGAAAGCCAAAAAAAGTACCAATAAAACATGATTCTCTGCTGTAGCTATCTCATTTTTTCTGAAATTCTTATCTATATAAATCGATAGTTAACCACTTGCTTGGCTACCCTTTCTTCTCATCCTCTCCCCGACTTGGTGGGCAAAAGTAGTCAACTTCCCAATTTCTCATCATCCTCATTTATGGGCTTTCACTATCCTTCCCAACCTTCTCCCTTAATTGTCCTTAGCCTTAAATGTACTTGTTGGTTCTCATGCTTTTTCACTTTCAGAAGAAATTTCCCAATCTCAAACTAAGAATTTTCTTGAGTTAAAATTTCCCATCTTTGGATTCCTGTAATTTCACATCTACATATACAAAGAAAGGCTCATTGATTAACTATTGAGTCAACTTCCTCTGTGATGAACAGACTGAGTATCTTCCAGATCCCAGATCTCATGAGCCTGATGTTGAATTCACTGGCTGGCCTATTACCCACTTGTGTTAGAGTTTTATCATTTTTACTCATGTCTGGGCCACGTCGATGCATGTGGGCATATTCTGTTTACTAGCTGAAACAAATTAAATGGATATACCAGCTGCCAAATGTCTTGTTACTCTCATCTATAATCAGTTCCTTTCAATAACCACTTCGAATCAGAGTCTAATTCCTCACCAAGATGTATGCATTTATAACTGGTAAAAGAAATCATGGAGAGCAGAGAAAAATTACCATTATCATAATATCATATACATATACCCCATAAAAAACTTCTTGGGCCATTAAGGATAAATTATTTTATTGTCAAGTCTAATTAAAATATCAATAGATTCTGCAATACATTTCCTTATCCATACACACACACATAATTTTTAAGGCAAGCAAGAGAGTCAATTTTATTGTGTTTAGGATTTCTCTATTAATATTAACTTAGCAATATACATACAAGTTATAATGAACTCTTTCCAACTAAAAAAGTAGCAGCAACCATCTAGCAAAGACTTTTTTTCTGTCAAATAATATACTCTTCTTGATTCATAATTTGCCATCATCTCTAGGCTTCATTTTCATCTTAAGTTTATCTCCTCTAGTTTTCAATTTCATATCTTGCTCAGCTATAAGGTGTACAGTAACTTGTGTTTTAATTAATAATGCCCATGGTTTTGCAGCAACTCAAGTGCTGTCTAATAATTCCTTTAAAATATTTCAGGCTCAGCTGGACATTTAAGATATCCTGATGAGTAATTTTACTAAGTATACTTGCCCCAGTTTACTCCTGACCTTATGCCTCATGACCGTGTCACCAGGATCCTGCCTCACACCTAAATCGCCTCACTAACCTACAGTGTGGCCCCTAACAATCAGTGGGCCGCCCATCTGTGACGTCTGTCAACAGACCCGAGCACCCTCTCAACATCTTAAGTTTGGTCAACGGACTTGAAGTATGAAAAAATAACATCTACGCCGTTCTTACTAAATATGACTTTAAGTTGCCCCCCCCCTTTTTTTTTTCCAGAAAACTGTATTTCCACTGGAGACATTTTATTTATTTTGGCTCTCATGTAGCACCTAAAAGAATCTGGTTGAAAGGCTGATCCATATCCCGACCGCATTCTGTGGTCATAAAGCAGAGTAACAGAGCCAAGCTATGAGGTGAATCTGACACTACAAATGAATGACTAAACCAGCACTAGTTTGATCAGCAACTTTGAGAACTTTCTCTTTGAAACAGACTTCACGCAATGTTCCATTCTGACCACTCACAATAGATGCTATGTGCCTTGGTTTTCAGGGATGACACAAAAACATTTAAGTTTTACTTGTATTTCAATGAATCCTATTTTACTTTAGGCAAAATGTGGACTTTTTAAAAAAATACATCTCTCTTTTTCTTTCTCCTTATGCAACTCTAACATCAGTTTCCTACTGTGAAGAGGGGAGAGTGTGAAAAGGCCCAGCCACAGGACCCAGGACAGCAGAATAAATGTTTTTCCAAAACCCTCCTGCAAACTTTGAGAACTTCATTTTAAATGTTTCTGGAGAAAAGAACACAATGGCTTAACTCAGAGAGTTTTGCTTTGCCATAATATGCTTGAGTGGGATTTAAAAGGACTGGTTCTACCTTGCACTGTTATCCAGACAGAGGTATTCCCGTGGGTCAGCAACACTGGCATTGGTGGTTTTGACGCCTTTGTCAATAAATAAGCCAGCCTGGAAAATATAATAATGGACTGAAATAAATATGAATCCCAAGTTATATCTATGAATGTAATGATTCAGAAAAATAAATTTTAGATTATTGCATCTACAAAAAGCAAGGAGGAAGGAATAAAAAGCAAAGCACAGATATCACGAAAACAGCCACTTTCCTGGATATTTTTTTTATCCTCATCCAAGGACATTTTTTCATTGCATTTAGAGAGAGAGGAATAGGGGAAAGAAGGGGAGAGGGAGAGGGAGGGAGGGAGAGGGAGAGAGAGAGAGAAACATTGATGTGAAAGAGAAACATCAGTTGGTTGATTCTCATCCAAGCCCTGACCAGGGATCAAACCCCACAATCTTTTCGGTCTACAGGGATGATGCTCCAACCAACTGAGCCACACTGGCCAGGGCTCCTGGATATGTTTATAATTTTACTCATTTGGTCATTTGCAAATATTTATGTAGTATCCACCTTGTGGTAGACACCAAGCATTGTACATTAATGAAAAAACTACAGAGCAGTTACTGACACATAAACTAGCAGGAAGACATGCAATTAAAAACAATTACAATCCAGTATGATAAGAATATGATAAAGGAAGTCGATGGTGCTTTGGCAACACATAAGAAAGTCACCCGAATGAGACCTTTAGTGAAGCTGGGAGTTCAGGATTCAGGGAGGGTCTTCTAAAAGAAGTAGCATCCTGAAGCTGAAACTTGAAAGATGGGGACAAATCAACCACATGAAAGGGCAAGTTGAGGATAAAGAACCAGGAGTGGGTGTGAACCAGCTCATGAACCCAGAGGAAAGTATTCAAAAGAGTCATTTGCACAAAAAGTCTGAAGACAAGAGAGGGCATGAACATCTGAGAAAAAAAAAAAAGAAGAATCTTTTTTTTTAAAGATTTATTTATTTATTTTTAGAGAGGGCAGGGAGGGAGAAAGAGAGACAGAGAGAAATATCAATGTGCGGTTGCTGGGGGCCGTGGCCTGCAACCCAGGCATGTACCCTGACTGGGAATTGAACCGCGATACTTTGGTTCTCAGCCCGCACTCAATCCACTGAGCTACGCCAGCCAGGGCAAAAAAAAAAAGAATCTTTGATGGGCTGACAGGAAATGTACAGAGGTAAGGAAGGAGAAAGAAGCAAATGTCAGATGATGCAGAGGTAACACATTAACAAGTCAAGACAATAGGATTTTAAATAAAGGTAACATAACTGCATTTGAAGAAAGAATACTCCATTTTCAAAATGGAAAAGATTGGAAAAAGCAAAAAAAGAGAGAGAAGAGATAAGGAAGAAGACGACGGCAGTAACCCAGAAGAGAAATAGTGATGACCTAGACTGTGGCAGTACTAACAGGGAAAATAGAAAGTGAAAATCCCTTACTATGCAGTGTTGGTGCCACTTAGCAGCTGATAAAATGGCTAAGGGTGAGGGAGAGGGAGCAATAAAGGTTCATGTATTTCTAGTCTGGGCAATTAGGTGGCTGGTGGTTTCATTCACTGAAACACGTATGGGAATGGGTCTGCTGATAAAAAATAAGGATTTTAGTTTCAAACATTTTATTTACGTGTCCTGGAGACATCCAAATGGTACACAGTAGGCAGCCATGCAGCTGTGATTGACCTGGACTAGATTTGGGAGGCGCGAGCAGCCAAAGCCTAAGAGGTCAGGGTTTGTGAGTTTATGGCTGACCTCATGAAGACAGGTGCCTCTCTGAGGGCTCCTAGGGTTCAATTTCCTTCGGCTGATAAATATCATAATGGGCAATCAGCCCCAAATTTAACAAGTTAAAACCTAATCACCCACTCATATTTAGATCTAATATTCTTACTCATACAGTAGATAACTGTGTGTCCTCAAGGTACATGACACTAAAAAATTAATTAGAATGAGGTATTCTTTATACCACTTATAATCAAAAAATTTTGCAACTTCCACTTTGAAATGCTACATTCAACAATTATCATTAATCAACTAATCAGCTCACAAAAATTTTAATTCTGTGTAAAGTTTTTTTCTCTCTCTTCATCAAGTGATTCTAAGCTCTTCAAATTACAATACACTCAAGTTTTTAGAGGATCCTCTGAGTATGATAAATGGACAGGATTCGTTGAACTCTGATGTAGATCACATCAGGGTAAATAAACCAGATGTACTAATCACCAAGGGGGGTGAGGGAAGACAGCCAAATACCAGGGAAACTGGAGCTCCTAAATGGCCTTTAGTTTACTGGACCTGAATCATTTTTAATTACGTCAAATTCTTAAATGGTATTTCACTACTTACATAATTAGTATTAAACACCCATAGGATGCTCTGTCAGCACTGAGAAAGAAAACATGCTGTATAACCCTCAGCAGCACGTTGTTTAATGTGTGCATCCCTAAAAACATACAATGGGGTTAAAGATTGGGAAGAGGGTGAGAACGGGGTAGAGGATGAAGACTCATGAATCAAGTCCATTATTATAATTATTCCAATTGCATGAACATGTGTGTTAGCATATATACCTGTGTGTTATTCAGATGACATACACATGTAAGTTAATACATATTCTTGTATGTATAAGTAGAAAAACTGTATGTATGTCCTTAATATGGAAGGGTTAGGAGTCTGCTTTTTTGACAAATTACTTTCTCTGATGACATAGTCTACCTAAAACTGACATATCTCAGTTGTAACCACAGTAGTCTGTCCTTGACCCTGTAAATCATATGTACTGATTATTAAAAATGAGGAACCTACCTTAAAACTTGAATGGACCCTGTTGTTATAGAATGTCCCCAATGGAGTAAGTTCTGGTTTCGTTGAGAGCCGCAATCCACTGGATTCCCCAGTAGGTTCCTTGTGAAATAAATACCATATTCCAGCATCCTATAATTAAAAGGGCAAGATCATTAAAAGCCTCCTTTTATAAAGCCAGTCTATGAAACACCTTTATAAACTAAGCACTTCACAAGCAAATCTAATTTTTTTAACACTAACTATTCATTGTTGCAGGTTAGGAATTGACTATAAAAAGCTGCACACTCCTCTAGCACCCTCAAAGTAGTTACATTATGCTTTGGGGAAAAATCACATTTAATTTTGTTTGCAGGACTGGACAAAAGATAGAAATAATTGGCTGACAGCAAAATTTACTTTCAAAATAACATTTGTTATTGTAAGTTATGCAGAATTAGAACCAAACAAACCTTCCTTCCTTCCATGGGACCAGGACAGCGCTGCCTTTTAGAAGCAACGGACTTTTTCTGTTTACCCCCAAACCTGATCAATAGATGAGTCATACCTATTAAGGAACTATCCACTAACAGGCAGAGCTCACTGACTTCTTTCAAAGGCCTCCAATGCCCTTCCTGTCCCAAGGCAAACGTTTGCCAAATGAAAAAAAGACACCGCACGCATGAATCAGGATGCTGTCTCCGTCTGGATCCTGTCTGTTCAATTTCAGTATTACTGACCTTAACAGGAGCAGAACCGTTTGAAATATCTTGACACTCAAAGTAAGATATAAAAATTGAAATTAAATGTTCTTAATCCCTGCAACAATTTTTTACTTTACAATTCAATTAAAAACCAGCCCAATGTAAAGGGCAACTTCACATGATGGAACTTTGATTAAATAGGTTGTTGAAACTTATAGTCCAAAATGTATGGTACTGATTCAAATTTGGCAAACATTTACTTAGTGCCCACTATATGCCAAGTATATAGTAAGACTATTCTCAAAGAAGTCATAGCACAATGGGAAATACAGACAGAACTAAAATATATTCCATGTAATAAGTACTATAGTAGCTGTAATAGAAAGTCCTATAGAAGCATAGAGGAGAAATGAATTGTGAAAAATATGTATACCTACACACCCAAATGAATGCAATATTTAATATTTTCCTGCAAGTTTATAGATGGGTCTTAAAACAAACTGTTCTGAAAAACGTATTTACCACCCTGACCAGGTAGCTCAGTTGGTTAGAGCACTGTCCCCATACACCAAGGTTTCGGGTTTGATCCCCAGTCAGGGCACATACAAGAAGCAACCAATGACTGCATAAGAAGTAGAACAACAACACATCAATGTATGTTTCTTTTTCTCTCTTTCTCCCTTCCCACCCTTCCTCTGCCACCCACCCTTCCTCTCTCTCTCTAAAATCAATATATTAAAAAAAAGTTTTTAGCCCTGGCTGGTGCGGTTCAGTGGATTGAGTGCAGACTAAGAAACAAAGGGTCATCGGTTCGATTCCAAGTCAGGGCACATGCCTGGGTTGCAGGCCAGGTCCCCAGTGGGGGGCACGTGAGAGGCAACCACACATTGATGTTTCTCCCCATTTCGTTCTCCCTTCCTTCCCCTCTCTCTAAAAATGAATAAATAAGATCTTTTAAAAAAAGGAGACTAGGTAGATTATTGACATTTACCCAAAATTTTTTATAAAAGTTTTCAATTATTTACTACCTCTTATCTTTGGGGCACAAAACAGACCATGTAAGAAGACATGGGTTGTGGAAAAGGCTCCACTCCATAGCCCTATAAAGTGAGGCAGCAGTGAGCCCTCCAGGGTGCAGTGGAGTTTGGGGGTGCAGGGAAAGAAGGGAATAAGGGGGATAGCAGCTGTTTCCTGTTAAATGCTGTGGTGTCAAAGCAGGTAAAGGGAGCTTTGTACGTGGCAGTGGAAAGGTACAAGTGGAAAGGGTTGACTGACTTGGAGAGGAAAACCTTTGCCAAAACACAAGCTTTATTGGAACAGTTTTCTTAGAGAAATGAGAACTTACAAAATGAAAAGGAAAAAGAACATACATGAGATGCACTTTTGTTTTTTCACATGAGTTCCAGTAAGGGTTTCTGGCAACCTCACCTTACATTTTTCATGGACTATTTGCAATTTGCTTTGATCGTCAACCCATGACTTTTGAAAACAGCTGAAAAGAATCTCTGCTCTGGCTGTTCCTTTGCAATGATCCTGGGGTAACACTGCTTACCAACCTCTTGGTGATCTTGACCCCAAAACTCATCTTCCAACTAGGAATTCTCAACACAAACTTCACATGGTCTTGACAAATATTTGATGAAAAAAAAATGAATGAATGAAACCTGAAATGATTAAATGTCCAGGTCTCTCCTGTCAAGTAAGAATTTTATGCTTTATGTTTTTTTGGAAAACCACAGATGTGAATTCTACCATCACCCAAAGATGCCTATATTCTATTCATCTCAAAGAAATACTCCTTTCAACTAATCTTTTACTTCATCTTGAAACACAATGCTGGATATTTCTTTCCTTTTTAAAATCTTAATAGCCATGACATAGGAGTATTGCTGTAAAGCTCATCTTCAGCATATAATCCTAATAGCATAATGTCTTAAATATTCATTTTATACTATAAATCAGTTTTAAATCATACTCAATTATGAATGTAAATTTCTCAAAGCTTATCTGAGGGACATTTCTGCCATTCCAAAATAGTTTATTTATTCTTTTAAGTTGTTCTTACGTTTGTGAAACAATTCAAGGCACACAGTTGAGTTCAGCTGCTTTACCGAGGAGATGAAACCCCCAACTGTGTATTATTAACAAAAAGATGAGGCCCTTAAGGGACCAGAGGGACAACTGTCAGAGTATTCCACAGAAAAATCCATTCCCTTACGGAAAAGCTACAGTTTTCCTTGTTCATCAACACTAAAAACTGTTACGATCGGAGTTAGTGGGCCACACCTGACTTAAGTGTGGGAAGCCAGAAAGACTCTATAGCACACGGTAAAATCACACTGTGGAGACAATGTGATAACCCTAGAGATTAGCCAACTACCTTGCCTCCATTTGAAATCTGTCTTACTATACTCAGAGATACTAACTGGCACGAATGATTTTCTTTTTACACTGACAAGACCGTTTTATTGGAACAGTTGCGTAAGTCTTTACTTAATTTTGATTGTGGCCATGTCTTTTCCACATTTTTACAATGTGGTATTTAATGATGGCATACAGTTTCTCTCTATTATCCATTTGGTGGGCACCAGTTATACAAGCTGAAAACTCAAAAAGGCAAGTTAAGCTAAATTTAAATGACATGTCTCAATAAAATTCATGATGTAGAAATTATTTATTTTTAATTTTTTATTTATTGAGTTTTAGAGAGAAAGAAAGTGAGAGGGAGGAATGGAGGGGGAAGGGAAGGAGAGAGACAGACAGACAGACAGACAGGCAGACATTGATTTATTATTCCATTATTTATACATTCATTGGTTGATTCTTGTACATGCCCTTACTGGGGATTGAACCTACAACCTTGGCATATCAGGACGACACTAACCAACTGAACTATCTGGCCAGGGCCTATGATGTAGAAATTACTGAACATTTCAAGCCAAATTAAATTTTTTTATTACAAGTAAGCCAGTGAAATATAAACACTCTTCTAAAGTTTGATTGCTTTACTTATAAAAATAAAATGGAGCATTATAAAATTCATCTAATGCTATAAACAGTTAAAATATTTTATTATGTACACTTTTAATTACAAACTTTCCTCTATCTTCAAGGTTCTTCTGCTGGTCTAATAATCAAACAGACATGAGACAGATACATGAAAGAAAAATAACTAAATTTAGTACATACATTATGTATGGGAACCCACATACACGAGACAGCCGGGGACTCCATGTGCAGGGCAGGCTCAGAGACAGAAAGGGGGACGGGGATATATAAGACATCCGGAGCCAGGGGTGAAGTAAGATGCCTTAGGGGCTTAAAAGGTTCACTGCAGAAAGATAAGAGCTGGCATAAAGGATTTCGAAGAAATAGAAAAAGAATCTCAGCCACACCCTGCTCTCCACTACACTGGTAGTACCAGAAAACAATATGATACTGGAAACAGATTGCCACACATTACATTACATCCATAACGTGACATCCAAATATGAGATTTGTAAACATGAATAAAAAAACTGAAAACACTTCAGCATTATTTACCTGTGAGCCTGCAGCTGCATTATTAATCAGATTATTATTGGGATGAGCAATCCAGAAGGTTGAAACAGCCCTGCAAGGCATTTTATAAGGTGATTTAAATATTCATCATGAAAAATCCTGCCCACTTTAAGCTTCCCCCATGACCTCTTCCCCAACAGTCAAAGGCCTTAACCATCACACATGAGGGTTTCTCTCTACCAATTACTCACATGCAGTCAGTGGCAGGCACAGGGATGTAATTTCCAAACACTTTTTCTCGCATCGTGATGCACATAGAGTTATTCCTGTCCGTGGGGAGGAGGGTGCCTGGCTTGGTGAGGAGTCCCAGATTGTGAAACAAAGTGTTTCTCTGTTCAACACCATCTTCCAAAAAGAAACAATGACCTAGTGTGTCAAACCCAATGGTATCTTTTATCTGCAGAAATACAAGTATATAATGTCATTGGTAACAAGATTGATTGTGGTTCAAGTAACAAGTGCTATTCAGTGTAGCATGCTGTGTACAAATGCAGAAAGATATTTTTAATCCTATCTGAAGAGGCAAAGTCAAATGTCAGGTTTTACTGATCTATTAAGAGAATAATTTGGGTAGCTAAAAAAGTAGGCTTCCTTCACACAGAAAAACAGAATTCTTATCAGAAACAGGATAGAGTAAGGCATGTGGTACAACGCTCACTTCTATAAAATTGAGAAGTCATGAGACTTAGGAGACGTGACTGCAGTAATATGCACTGACATAACAGGAGGCCACTTACCAGCAAGCCATCTGTCCCATGCACAGTGATGCACCGGGAGAAACTGTGATGAATGGACAGGCCGTCCACAGATGTTCTGCGTCTGTACCCTCCTTTATAATCCACGTCTCCACACAAATGAAAATGAACAGGATACCGTCCCATCTGCTGCTGGCCCATGTGTTTCAATTCCACATAAGAAAGATGGACTGAAGTAAAATTTTTCCTTATCTGCAAGACATGGTAACCAAAATCAAATACCTTTCATTACGGGGCAGTAGCAAAATATATTGTTTTAACAGAAAATGTCTGAAGGAGAATACACATTAAGATATTTTTTGTTTTTGCATCCCATTTTCCTGATCCCCAGTTAATAATTTAGCAAGTGCTCCTTTACTTACTTCAGTGATTGCTTTAAAGAGCTATAGAAATAGCATCTTACTAAGATAAAAGGAAATGACCCTGGCTGGGTAGCCCAGTTTGTTACAGCATTGTCCCTGTAAGCCAAGTTTGTGGGTTTGATCCCTGATCAGGCACACAAAAGAAACAACAAGTGAATGCATAAATAAGTAGAATAACAAGTCAGTGTTTCTCTCTTTCTCCAAAAAAAAACCCAATAAATTAAAAAATACAGAATAAAAGAAAATGAGGACATGTAACCAGGAAAGCTGCAGAAATAATTTATGTGTGTGTTTTGACTGTTCAAATATTTTGGTCAGTTCCAGTCTCATCTTGCTGTTGTATTTCCATAACTTTCACTACAGTTTAAAAGAGTTATTTCTAAATCATCCTCCAACATTTTTTGTTAGCTCATAATATTATTTACTTCAGTTCTTTCTAAAACTTCCTGTGATCCACAATTAGGGCATTCAATATTTTTAAACACTGGATTGTCAATCATACTACTAAAAACAAAGAAATAACAATGACCAATATTTCAGAAAGCAGTGTAACAGAACAGCTGCCAATAAGCATTCCCCACTCATTGCACAAAAACCGATTTTAAAACACACGTAGCCAAAATGCAGTCCAGAAGTCCAATAAATTAGTACACAGAGCAAAGCTTACCACATAGTAAGCACTGGATACTTTTACAGAATAAAAATCTGCATATGAAAAATGTGTTTACAGCCCAGACCAGTGTGGCTCCAGGTTGGGTTGGGCATTATCCCACAAAGTGAAAGATGCTATTCGACCCCCGGTCAGGGCTCAGGCCTGGGTTGCGGGTTTGGTCCCATTGGGGCACATACGAGAAGCAACAAATTGATGTTTCTCTCCCTCTCTTTCTCCCTCCCTTCTCCGCTCTCTCAAAATAAATAAATTAAATATTTTAAATATACATACTGTACATGTTTTTTACAGAAATGTGTTTTGTATGTGTATATTGCTTAATTGTGTTTTTTAAAGAACCGATTCTTTCATACCAAGATTACTATTTTTTTTGTCTCTGTATACTTGGTTTTTCCCAGTATATTGATTTAATTCCTCATAAGGAAAGTCTTCTCAAATGACTTAACGTCAAGTCCAGGTCCACTAAATGAAAACAAATATTCTCTTAGTTATCTAAAATCTCTTCCTTGTCGTTTAATAGAAAAAATGAATATGACTTCTTCACATCTTTATCGATCTCATTCCAGACCTTTAAAGTTTTTTTTGAATATATTCAGCAACCAAGGTTTCACAGAACTCATCAAATCCTTCTGCCTACCGTGACATGTCCTCCAAAGGTATCATAATCAAAGAGCTGGCACTGGTTTTCAGCGTAGCATGAGTCCTCCACTTCTCCTTGGATGGCAACATTCCGGGTGAGAATTCCCACCTCGGCTCTCATGTCCACGCCGTCTATGATCTCACCCATGTGCAGGAACTGAGGGGTTTCTGGCGGATGTGGGCAAGGCGAGAATATCAGAACAAAGAAACAATGGAACGCATGTCAAAAAGACAGAGTTTATTCTGTAACCCCAAGGCATTATCAAAGTTTATTGCCTGCTTCCATTCTTTACCGCCTCCGAATCCCAGAATCCCAGGAAGTAAGGATATTAAAGATTATCTATTTGAATGACCCACGCAGTGCCTAAACCCTTACTACCGACTGTCAAATCTGTGCACAGGGCTTGCTTCCCCCTGAAGCAGCTCGATCTTCTCTTGAACAGCACCAATAATCTGGAATCTACTTAGGAATCCATATTCTCACTCTCTGGCTCCACACCCTTGAGGGCACATGCAGAACCAAATGCATGGGAAGGTCAGAACAGCTAATGGGGTGTTGATAGCACAGGGTGTTCAGTTGCTTTTGTTTCCACTCCAAAGCTACAGTGGTCTGCATTTGCATGTGAACAGCACAGAAATTCCCATCTTTTCTTCCCTACTTCTTATTTTAACATTGCTGTGCATTTTTTTTTAAATTCCTATCTTGATTAGGTATTTAGAAACACTTTAATAATGAGCTTCTCTCTGGTGTTTTTATTATATAAACTCAGGAAAAAATAAAAGTATATCAAGGAGTTGAGGTCATGGAGATTCGTTATCCTCTACACTTGCTAACAGGAGTGGGAATTTCCAAACAAAAATTAATGCCAGATGATATTGTCATTTTCTGGGTTTTTCTGTTTTCTGCTTATGCCCTGAATTCCCAGGAAGGAAGAGCACAATGCTGAAGCACACAGAAACAGTGCCAAGGGGACCCATCAGTCTTCTCTTTGTCTGAATAGAAAATTTTCCCTTAAACTTCAAAGCTCTAAGTGATCTATAGAGTACCTATCAAATAGTTACTCTAAGCTCTTGTTTTGTACCATAAAGGTATAATTTTGAGTACAAAAGTAAGGAAAGCATTATCATGAGTAAAATGCACAATGAAGTCCATAAAGGAGGCAATGCATGAAGATTTGCTTACTACCGGGCTCAGAATAAGTAACTGATAAACATCACCCATTCTTTCTAAATGCAATTTATAGTAAGATGCTGATCGTGCACTACTGTCCTTCAAAAGATGCACTATTCGTGACTATACAGGAAACACAGTCTTATTAAAATACCTTTCTGGTTCTATTTTAAATATTAGTAAAATCTACTTTTTGCCAAGCAAGTAGGCACTCAAATGCCATTGTTTTGTTTTTCAACTTAAGAAGACAAAACTTTAAAATACCTTTCTGGTTCTATTTTAAATATTAGTAAAATCTACTTTTTGCCAAGCAAGTAGGCACTCAAATGCCATTGTTTTGTTTTTCAACTTAAGAAGACAAAACTTTACCCTGGTTGGTGTGGCTCAGTGGATTGAGCACCAGCCTGCGAACCACAGGGTCTCCAGTTCGATTCCTGGTTGGGGCACATGCCTGGGTTTCGAGCCAGGTCCCCAGTAGGAGGCATGCAAGAGGCAACCACCCATTGATGTTTCTCTCCTTCCCTTTCTACCTCCCTTCCCTTCTCTCTAAAAATAAATAAAATCTTTTTTTAAAAAAAAGAAGACAAAACTTCTATTAAAAATAAGTCTGGTTTACTATTATTTGACAGTAGAAAATTTAAAGGAAGTTGAAAAGAACCTTAGAAAATAATTGATCCATCAATTCTGCCTCTTTTATTAAACAAAGAAACAGGCACAGAATGTGGTAATGGTGGTGGTGGTTGGGGAAAAACTCCAGGAATCAAATCCCAAGAAAAGAGTGTTTCCCAAAAAGCATTCTGTGCAGTCCCATACCTTTGACTTTGACCTGGAAACGGCTGCACTCAGGACAGGGGAGAAGAGTGAACTCTTCTGCCTGGTACATGGAATAGTCTGTGCTTGCAACCACAATCTGGGCCCCAGGTTCCCAGCTACTAACGTCATCGAGCAGATGAAGCTTCACTCCATCTGCAACTTCTACCCGGAAACCTGAAAGAGAGACTCCTAGACCAAAAAAACAAGAAAGATATTGCTGCATTAGCGGGATTTTTTTCCCCCTAATATTGATCCTCTCACTGATTAACAAAGCAACAGTTAAGATAAACACAAGTCAGCAAATTTTTACTAATGATAACCATGTGGAAGTCACTCTGTAGTTATTAATCTGTTGGGACTTCACACACATAATAACCTTTCATCAAAACAACTATGAGCGATAAGAACTACTGTATGTATTAGAGATGAAGAAACAAAAGTTCAGGGCACTTGAATAGCAGCCAAAAAATGGTAGAGCCCATAACTGAATGCTTATTTAATTCCAGAGCCTAATTTCTTAACCTCTATAGTCTCCCTTCCCAAGAATCAAAACAAACAGGATAAGAACACAGGTAATAATAACAACAACAAAAAAAAAACACCTCATGGTAGCAACAAAAATCACTACCCAAAATTTCAGATTCTTACCAAAAAAATATATCTAAAAAGAACAACTAAACATTTTTTTCACTAAAACTTCATATAAATGTCAATAGTGTTTTGAAAAAGATGACAAGGATGATTTTAAGCAAATATTCTTTTTTAAAAGAAAAACTAGGTAAATACGTTTTGACTTAAATGATTGTTAGAATTTGTTTTTGTTTTTTTTTTTGTTTTGTTTTGTTTTTATATATCCAGAAGGTTAGGAAGGAAGATCTGTATTATTCCGTTATTCCTCACTTTTTGGGCTTTAGAAGAAAACTCTGCCTCAGATTATCTCCTATTAACACGACTGAACTGAAGTATGAGAGGACACAAATTCATCCTCCCTCCTTCCTGAAGAGGATCACCACCTCTTCCAGAAAGTAAGAGTCAATGAGAAACTGGACACAGACAGCGCCCACTGACAGACAGCTGGAATGCACCCTCTCCAGAAATGAGCGGTCATCAGTAATGTGGACATGAAAACAGAACTTCCCACAAAGGAAGTGTTGACTCGAGGTTTGTCAGTAATTATCTCTTGCCTGGAATCTTACTGGAGACAGTTGTACTAAACTTTTCATACAAATTCCTACTAAGAAATTCTTCTCACCCAACCATTTTTTTTTTTTTTTTGCCAGAGGCAACCATGGTGTAGTAGAAAAAGCAGCGTTCTTTGAGGCAGAAAGCTGAGGCTTTATTCCAGCTTCCTCCTCCATAGTAATACCATCTTCTCATCCCAAACCCAGAAGGTTGCTTACAGGCAACATATGAAAGTCCCTGTTTCATAACAGGAACTCTATTTATCTTTTTGTTTAAAGTAAAAATCTCTCTTTAATTATGATACAAAATACACCATTGTAACCCAAGTCATGTTTGCTCATCATTAAAATGGGTAACATTTAATGAGTGCTCACTCTACATACTATGCTAAAAAAAAAAAAGAAAAAACTTCATGTTCTTCACATTTGATGCTCATAGCAGCCCTATAGGGTAGTTTCTATTACCAAATCAGGAAACTGAGGGTTAGCAAGTTAAAGTCTCTTGCCCACCATCAGAGTGAGTGAAAGCGCTGGGATACGACCGGAGGCACTCTTTGTGCAGAAATCCACTTTAGTGAACACTTTGCTACATTGCTTCCAAAAACAGGTGTGAACCAAGTCTACACTAAGCCCTTCTGGATAATGAGAAATGTAATAAAGCACCTCTTACTCATTTCACATTTGTTTGGGTATAATATTTGGTTAAGGAAAAAAAGGTGGCAGGCAAGCACAGACGGGAGGCTGCCAATCCATACCTGAAGCCAAAAATCTAGCAGCAAAGTGGGTAAGTAAAAAAATTATACAGTGAACATCAGTACACACCCAGTGCTAGGCATTATTTGAACAAATTATAGCTCTTCTGAAAGGTGGATTATAATTAAAAATATATTGAAGAAAATGTAAAGACATGAAATACTTTTATAAGTTGTTTAAAGAGAGAGAAAGAGGATAAAGCAAAGATGAGCTGAAACATAAGATAAAAATATTAAATATTTGCACCAAAATAATTATCTCTGAATGACAGGGTTAAAGATTAATTTTTACTTTGTACTTTCTGTGTTTCCCAACTGGTATTAGCAATTTCTGTCTCATGATCCAGCTAAGAAAATAAGCAGTTGGTTTGTGCAGCAAACCAAATTTGCTGACATATCTACATAAAAGAAAAGATGTGAAGTACAAGATCATGGTCACTGTCACAGAGCATAACCAAAGACAGCTCACCATATCACATCCAGGAAACAAATATATTTTCACTAGTTAGCCGCACTATATCTAGAATAGACCATTCTCTAGTCCAGAAAGAACCCCTGAGTCTAAAAGATCGAGTACAGTAGGGAAACTATAGGCGTTAACTTCAACCAGTTGAGAAATCTAACTGGTATGTCATTCGCAAATGATATCACTTTAAAAAGTAAAAGCTGTCACAATACTTACCAATGTCTTGCAAAACTATATAAACTGTACTTGCCTACCTTCAATCCATTCACTATAAGCTGTCACAGCAAACTTCTGACCATCCACAGTATAAAACTCTCTCTGGGCAAGAGCCTTTCCTCCACTACTATGGTTTTCATAGTTCCTCACAGATTCATTGCAAGAAGTACTTCCACCGTCAATGACACCAACCAAAGCCCAAGCTTGCCTAGAAGGAAAAAGAGCGTGTGCATTTGATCATTTGCCAAGGTACTCACCCAAATCCCTGGCACAGATGTTAAGTCAGGTGCTAATTATCACCTTTCATTTTTTGTCAGGCCCTACGCCTGTCTTCCTTATGACGGTGCAAGTCCAAATGTTGACTGAAGTAAATGTCACAGAAGGAAATGCATGGGGATTTTTTAAATTTTATTTATTTATTTACTTATTTATTCACTTATTTATTTATTTTTATCAAGAGGGGAAGGCAGGGAGAAAGAGAGGGAGAGAAACATAGATCGGTGACCTCTCACACGGCCCCAACTGGGAAGGACCTAGCCCACAGCCCAGGCAGGTGCCCTGACCAAGAACCCAGCCAGCGACCTTTGGCTTGGCAAGACGATGCCCAATCAACTGAGTCATACCAGCCAGGGCGCACCTGGATTTCACATCCTTGTTGGTCCAGCTCTGTAACAGGTGAAACACTGATGACTGTGGCTTCCATTAATCATTGACTTCCTTCAATACACACCCATTTCACTTACTACCATTCTGGCCACGGAGCTCCCAGAACATGCCCACGCTCCGACGCAGCCCACACTGATACAGCAGGTCCAGCATTAGCAGATTTGTAAAGCTCTGCAGGGGATGTGAACATGCAGCCACACCTGAGAACCACTGAGTTACCGTTACCGCGGTGGTTCTCCAAGGTCGCTAGGTCTCAAACTCACCTGGAAGGCTTGTTAAATCAGATTGCTGGGCTGCACCCCCTGTATGAAATGGGGCTAGAGAATTTGCATTTCTAACAAGTCCCCAGGTGCCACTGAGGCTTTCTGGTCTGGGGACCACACTGAAAACCTGTTAGAGGCCAGAGCACGACGCAGTGGTTACCAACCCTGCTGGCACACACAGCGCCTGGGACCCTAACCTTCGTGAGTACTAAAGTAAGCAATCCAGGGTAGGCCCTCGAGGACAGGATTTTTTTTAAATCTCAGGGGTACAAGTAAGGCTGAAAACCTCTGGGTTAATCATTTCTTAATGTTCTTGAAGCTGTAGAATTACTATCCAACAGGTTTTACAGGCTCTACGTCTGTTTGTTAGAAGCAATGTGTTGGAAAATGCCATTTTATTTCTGTGATACTGTGCTAAACCCTCCCAAGGGCTTGCTTAAGCTTGTTGCCAAAAACCAGTAAGAAAATTTTCAAAAAGAACAAAGACAAAAAGGCAGAAAATTTGCCTTAAGACTCCTGGTTTAAAACATGAAAAGAAAAATGCCAACTTCTTTCCCTAAGGGGAAAAAATACACCAAATGTAATCTAGGCCAAACAGATGGCCGGATAGTCACAGATAAAAGTTAACCTAAGCATGCCTACATCCTTCTAAATTCCACACCCGCCCCTGCCTGTCTTCAGCTGCTCTTTGGCTGACAATGCTTTACAGCTCTATTTATATTCCTTGACACAGCAGAAAGAATCAAATGAAGAATGTCTCAATTTATGATCTCTTATGTGAGAGGGAAGGAGGAAAAATAGCAAAGCCTTCCTTTATTTACCAGGACTACCTCAGCCACTATAAAACAATGTTGTATTCTACTGACACTGTCTCCAAAACACTCCCACTACTTTCCTCCTCCACTTGAGGAAAATTTCAACACACCAGAACATTATCTTCAAAGGGGTATGTTTATGTTCACTGGACATAATGTCAAAGCAGTGGAACATTGGCAAAGATTCACAATTCTAATTCCTCCATCAAATCAGCCATATTTTAAAGGGAATTGAGAAACCAGTAGAATGTAACTGCCCCTCCCAAAAAAGGTCAAACAAAATATTCAAAAATATCATAGCTAATGATAACACAAGTCTAGAACAATAATGGCATAAAGACACAAAAGGTGTGCCCTGGCTGGTATGGCTCAGTGGGCTGAGCACCAACCTGTGGACCAAAAGGTTGCCGGTTCAATTCCCAGTCAGGGCACATGCCTTGGTTGCAGGCCAGGTTTCCAGTTAGGAACATGCAAGAGGCAACCATTCAATGTTTTACTCCCTTTCTCCCTTATTTCCCCTCTCTCTAAAAATAAATAAATAAAATCTTTTTAAAAAAGAAAAAAAGTTGTAACCCCTGGCATTACTGGATAATGAAAAAGTGGGAGTCTAACTTAGAAAAGACCATGCTTCACTGCAAGGTCTATGAACCACAGAAATATGTACACATGTGCATCAGGAGACTGGCAAAAGAACATTCAGAAGCACTTATTATAACAGAGGTCCAAATTGGAAAACCAACTAGCTATCCAGGAGCAAATATGTTGGTGGCATAAGCATACAATAAAAAATGAACAGCAATGAAAATGAGCCAGCATTACATGCAAGAACATAGCATATTTTGCCGTATATAATGTACACTTTTTTGCCCAAATTTTGAGGGGAAAATAAGGATGTACATTATACACAGGTGGTACTAATTCCCATATATAATGCAGATTACACATGGTATGAAAACATGGGTGCACATTGTATACGGCAAAGTATGGGTAAGCAACTCTCAATAACAGAGTCAAACAAAGCAACGAGACACAAAATGTGATACACTGTTCGTCCTCACTTACATGAAGTTCAAAAACAGGAATCCCTCACCTTTGGTATTCTCCACAAAATCAGGAGTGGTTACCTTTGGTGAGTGGAGGAAGTGATCAGTGAAAAGGAGGTGGAAGGGGATGCCTCTGGGCTTCTGGCAAAGTTCTATCTCATGAACTGGGTGGTAGCTACGCAGATATCACATTGTGCCAAGTAATTAAACTCTATATTCTTGTTTTCAGCACTTTTCTGTATGTGTATTATATATGATAAACATTTAAAGAAAATACTTCTTAGCTTTTGCACATGCTCTACCCCATCTGTACAGACCTCCATCCAACTGCCTAGAGAGCACAGCCCTAAACACCCTAGCCTTTGGGAAGCGTCCACTAACCAACCCAGGCCAATGTGGGGACTCCTCCTACCACGCTCTCATTACAGCCTGCAAATGCAGCAAGCGTTTTATTCTTATCTGTTTAGGTCTCTCAATCGAAGGCTCTGAGACAGTGTCATTTCATCTAAGCATCTACAGATACCCAGCTCTCAGCACCTCTTAAATGCTCCCCGCGGGGAATAAAAAGCATTTTTAAAGCATTACAGATGCCCTTTCTCTACTTACTTAACTTTCTCCAAATTTCTGTAGGTAATATTGTATTCCAACAACCAAATTTCCAAGGAAAAAAATAATAACCAGATCAACCATAAAAAACAATAACTAGATCTTTTCAATATGTGAGTTTTGAAATCCTCTTACTTTTCACTGCAAACATTCTCTGACTTCATGAAGAACAGTAAGCAGAATTGAAACTTCTGTTTTTTGAATTTTAAGTGTTGAGCCAGCTCGCGGCTGCATTAGGAAATCATGGTTAACTAGAATACAGCACAAGAACCATAAATAGTAGAAATGATTCCTACTATCTCAATGAACTTCCTAGCCCTCTTACTGGTTCCTTCCTCTCACCAGGCCTCCACAGTCCTGCGTCAATCAAACCAGCAGACCCAACTCAGCATGCAAAGGGTTCCAAAAAAGAAAGAACAAGGAAACCGTGCATGTTCCACCCACTCAGGCTTCTAAGACAACTTTTACACCTTAGCTCAAAATTGGGCACTAACCTTTCAACTCCTAAATTGTTTCAATTAGCCTGAGTTTCATATGACACACTTCAGGAGGCTATGAAAGAGGAAAGTAAATTGTCCTTAAACTGCCTGATCATTTTTTTCCAGTTTCATATTTCTGTTCTTTTCACAACCCTGACACTACTGTTCATAAAAAGCCTCATAAACCAAAGCCAAGAAACGAGCTTCTGTAACCAGTATCTTGTCGTCCAGTCCCACGTTTTAAAGCAAAAGAGTCAACCAGACCTCTAAATGGTAGTGGCCATTCTGACCTGAAGTTGGCTGTGGTATGTTGTGTCTTTCTCCACCCTCGCTCTCCTCTCATACAAATGTGGACTCTAACACAGAGCTGGGAAAGAGAGTACTAAGGTATGCCCACCTGTAGCCCAGGCCTTGGATCAGCTTACTTCCCAACCGGTCCTGGATCATTTGTATGGTTCCCTGTAAGAGGCTTTTGGCTGCTGAATCTCCGACAGCTATAGCAACAATCCGTCCCGGGTCCAGGACTCTCAAAAACTCCTGAAGTCGTCTGCTCTCATTGTGGTATTCGTGGGTATCAAACCTCACACTTTCCAAAATTTTGGCCGTGTCTTGGTCAATGACCCTCACATTGAGGCCCCTTAAAAAGTCCTTCTCAAAGGCATAGGAGCCAAAGGCCAAGCCTGAGGAATGCAGAGTTCTCGCCAACAATGTCCATGATGTCTTCTGTGCCCCGTGTAACTCCAGTGTCCCACCAGCTTCCACACCAATAAATTTTTTGCCAAATATTGGCATACTTTCACCTTCATCTGACCTGCCATACAAGGCAATTGTCGCTTTGGATTTATAGCGGCATTTTTCTGCTCCAATATGAAGCGCCCCACCATCCTTGATCAGGATGTAACGAGTCCTCAAAGTAATATTTCTGGATCCATCTTTATCGTCCCCAAATACAAGCAGGCCTGCAGAGAACAACACTAGTGTCAGTCCACTTCTAACACATTTTTCTGACACACAGAGAAATAATTTCATCTTGAGGCGGGAAGGGGAACACTTCTGCAGTTAAGTTGAGAAGAAAGAATTTACTAAGAGTCTCCTTAGAAAATTAAACCTGTTTTCAAAACATAGTGAAGGAAGAAATGAAGAGCTTGTATCTCAACACACTAAAATGCCCATGTATATGAGCTTCAATCCATTCACTTTAGAGATAAATCACTTCCAGAAAACTATCTCGGAGCCTACAAATCTGAATCTCATTTTTACATGTTAACCATGTTAATTTTCTCATCATTCTCCACAGCTCTACCAAAGATTTGGCTACAAGAAATCACTTCCTGGAACTGTTTCCTCTTCTACAAATCAAGGGTGTTGACTTGAGTGGTTCTAAGGTCCTCTGGCTCTTGAATTCAATGGTTCTGCCTTAGGAACTTTTTTCATGTTTCTGTGGTTGGAGTGATACCACATCCTGAAGAGTAATAGTTTTCTACAGAAAGAACATCAAATGTGCCCCCATCCTAAAGAGCAAGCTTGCAGTTCCCATAGACAGGGACCATGACTTACCTCCATCCTGAATGACTATAGAATTCACTGTGGCATCTGAGGTCAGACGGAACATATCCCCCTCCTTGATAACAACTTGCTTTGCAGAATCCTGTCCTGGATCCCAGTTCCTGAGACGAGGGTTCTGATCTGGGCAATTCTCTGTAAAACAATGCAACCTCAATGTCCCATCAACCCAACCAAATGCAAGGATACTTTTAGGCAAATCCAAGCTCTACCATCACTTATTGCAATCTCCAACTAACAGGCTGACATATTTTAGTTCCTTGCCATGGGATGGAAATCCCACCCCTGCCAATCCAGCAGAGATATGTCAAAACCTTTACTTCCTCCACACATAGAAAAGGTTCCACCACAAAAGTAAGTTGCTATCATCTAATTCCGGTCAAACTCCACAAAGTAAAAATGGAATTCCCCTGAATCATCATCTACTCTGGAAGTAAATCAACAGTGAGAGGCAAAACTGTGAACTGTCCTTGGACCCACACTAGAAAGCTGTTTTAGAAAAGAAAATGTGTTCGCAACCTACTGGTCAATAAAAAAAGGAAACTGCTAAGCAGTATGTGTATTAGATCTTCCAAAGTTCCTTCCTGTGCACAGTGAATCCTTAGTAGGTGATAGTAGCACCTCTTCCCCCAAAAGGCAGCAGCTGATAAATATTGCTAACTTCAGGCATGTACTTTCCCCAACAAAACTACAAGAAGCAAATGGCCAAAGACATGACTTCTCTTTTCAGAGATGAGGAAACCATTGGTTAGAGAAGCCAACCCAAGATTACTGAGCACATTGAGTGATGTAGAAGTTCCCCTTTCAGAAATGAGGATTACTTTACTTGCAGTGGCCCTTTACTAGAATTAGAGCTTTCCTCTTGAATAGGTGATGGTGAAAACATAAAAGTGTTCTGCATTGCTACAGATATTCAATGCATGAGACCTTTGGTTTCTGCTACAATTGGGGGGGGGGGGAAATCATACCAATTTAGATCAACTAAAGACCAAGAATACTTATTCACAATAAATTTGTCCACTCTATGCTAGATGCTGTAAAATTTATTTAAAATATATATACTTTATATTTTATAAATATAGTTATATATCTAAAGCAATGAGCCCACAACCCTCCAAGTTTATATTCCAGCTTGGGAGACAAAGCCACACTGTATGAAATACTTACATATTTAACAATGTGGTAATTACTTTAGATGCAAAAGAGCTCAGAGAAGGGAGGGGTGGGGCGGCAAGTACCTGAGGCAGCTTCAGTGAAACAAGTAACAGAATAGGCAAAATACACTTGGTGATCATATGAAGGTGGTACATAGACGTTGGGAGATAATATTAGTAAAAGCAGAGAAACAGTGCAGCACAAAGATATTTTTTTATAGAAAGAAAATTCCGATTCCTCATTTTGAACTTGTGTAACACTAATGCAAACATCTTATTTCTTTTTTATTGAGTTTACTGGGGTGACATTGGTTAATAAAATATATATGTTTCAGGTGTACAACATGTTATTTCCAAGCACTCATGTTGCCCTGGGCTCACACTTTCTCTTTGCAGTGATAGGAACTACTACAGTTCAAATTAGTCCCACAGGTTAAGACCTTGGAAAGCATGTCATGGAATTAATTTTTCTCATAGGAGCTCCCCAGTCATTTAATTTAATGACTGATATTTAATTCCCCAGTCATTTAATTTAATGACTGATATTTAATTCATATTTAATTCTGATAAATCAGTGATCATCACTGATACTAAGAATAATCCCTAAACTTTCCTTCACATCAAGTAAACAAGAAATTTCTTAAATTTGTTCCGACTTAATACTGAGGATTTCTTGAACTCTTCTTCTAGCTCCTTCTCTTTCCATAAAACATCTAGCTGGAATTCTCCATAACGTTGTATCAGAAGCAAAGGTATGCCCCACGTAACAAGCACTGTACCCAGCTACAGGGAAGAAAATCCAGTCTTGACACCTAGAGCCTATTATTGTTACAATAGTTACACAATTCCACTTCATTGTTTATAATTATTCACCAAGAGGGCATGTTTCATTAGAACCATCACCCAAAACTCCTGGCTGTTAGCTTCCAATAAAGTACATCTAATGAGAAAATGTGTGGTCTTCAGAAAGCACTGAAAAATAGCTCAGTCTGCCCCATCTTCCCGGCTACCCACTTGTTAAGCAGTGGGTGCTATCAAAGTTATGTAAGAGCAACAACCACAGTGAGGCTGCCCTGAAAATATTTCAGCATACCAAATCTTTCCACTGATACTCTGCACTCATACTGCCAAAAATGAAACTGAAGAATGTTGATTCAACGAACCACATCAGCAATTCAATGTCTCAGATGGAATATAAAAACATCAGTTAAAGCCACAGATCTCAGCTCTGCTTTTCCATTAACCTAGCATCCCTTTTCTGAAAATCACTTGGAAAGAATAAATCAACAGCAAGTGAGCTTGATTATTCTGCTGGAGAAAGGGGAAAGAATATCAATGCTATGTGCAATGAAGAGCATTGTCACAAGTTCACAATGTGGCCTACTGGTGTGATGTAGAAAGATGTTCACATGAATATCTCTCTCACTTCGGGTCTATGTAGAAGTATTGATACTACCTCTCCCCAGAAAGTTAAAGCCCATAAAAACCCCTAAATCACCCATGAACATGAAATAAAAATAATATTTATAAGTCTTATAAATGGTAAAATGCTTCTTAAATGTTTTACCCATTTAAGGGGGCATCTAATTTGACAAAAACGTGCTGTAGATGAAGAAAAGGAAGGTAACTCTGGGGCCCAGCCCCAGCCCTCTGGTCTGCTGCTGCCGCCACAGCCCTGGGCCCTATGATGTTCACGTCACATGCACAGACGGGATTCCACTATAAGGCCACTCTTTGTCAGTGTAGTGTTTAGGCCACATGACAACAAATGTCTTCAAAATCACCCAAAATATCAATATATTACCACCTGGAAAAGCAAAGGTCATCAAAAAATTAAAACCGCCCTACATGATGTTTAACTATGAAGTAATGAGTGATTTTTAGACAAATAATTCAGAAATCACACCTGCAAATGGATATTTTCCTTTTAGGATATATATTGTTCCTCAAAAATATTTGAGGCTTCTCTTGGAACAGTCCTCAAGCCAGCCAGCTGCAAACTGCAGAACACAAATCTTATTATCTGAATTTATACTTTAAAAAAATCAAATGTAGTTTTTACCATTATAGCAGTGATTTTTATCACTAAAACCTTTTGGCAGAAAATCATACTTCCAACAAAGGATAAAATTACGCTGCTGCCAGAATTCAGTAAGGACCCCTAAAATTAGCACTTCAAACAGAAATACTCTAAGAATGTCTTGAGCGCTGGGACAAAGTGACAAAATGGAAAGGAAGAGTTATCCTTTAATTTTTTCATTTCCCATGGATTCTTTTAACAATGGCTCTCATTCAGAAGTCATCCCTCATATTAATTAATTATACGAGTATATTAGGTAGTTAGAGCCAACTTCAGATAAAAGAATTTTTAATCTTACTCTATTTCCTTTCTTTCTTTCCTTTCCTAGAATATGTTCTATTTTCCAATTTAATTACCATAGTTTCCAGACCATAAGATTCACCTAGGTTTTAGAGAAAGAAAATAAGAAAAAAAGTTTTGAAGCAAAAAATGTGGTAAAATATTTAATAACATGAACAACATAATATTTCACCAGTGTAAATATAAACAGAACTCAACAGCAGCATTAACAACCATTGTTCCTCCCAAATTGGGGGGGAGGGGTGCATCTTATAGTCTGAAAAATATGGTAACATGGAAACTAAAGTATATAACTCAAAAAACAAACAAAAGAAAAGAGCATGTTCTATACACACACACACACACTTACCATCTGGAGCATATTTTGAGGATATCCCTAAAATGACTGCAAGTGCAACAAAAAATGAGAAACTAGTAATAGCAAAGCAAATGAAAGTATGTTTGTGCCTCTTCTGCTTTTGGCTTTCTCCCTGGGTTTGCTGCTCTTCAGGTGAGAAAGCAAAGCTGGCCCGGGCTTCCTGTCTGATGGAGGGACATTTGGCTGAAGCTTGGCTCTTTGGAGGAGGAGGGGGACGCAGTGGGACAACCTTTCCTGGAACATAACCAGACGAGCGATGGCTGTTTCCATTCTGAGGTTGCAGGAAAGCAGGGGAGCGTCCCCTGGAATTAGTGGCATGCATGATACACTGTCACTGTGAAAAGAAAAAAAAATTAAGGCTCAGAAATGTGAGAATGGAATGGCTTTTCATTCAGTATGTTTTATTGGAGTATATATATGCAACATAAAATTTATCATTTAAAACAACTTCCAAGTGTATAGTGTAGTGGCATCAAGGACATTCACAATGGTGCACAACCATCACAACCGTCCATTTCCAGAACTTTTTCATCCCAAATGGCAACTCTATATCCTTTCAGCAACAACACCCCATTTCTACCGTCTCCTCAGTCCCTGGAAAACACTATAATGACTTTTTAAAATACCAAGTCAGCTTATATCCCTGTGTGGACAGAAAGAGATTCTAGTCCTGGCAGGTGTGGCTCAGTTTGTTGGAGTACTGTCCCATAACCAAAAGGTTGCGGGTTCAATTCCCAGTCAGGGCACACACCTAGGTTGCAAATTCATTCCTCAATGCCCAATCCCCAGTGCATACAGGAAGCCACTGTTCGATCCTTCTCTGTCCCATCAATGTTTCTCTCCCTCTCTCTCCTCTCTCTAAAAGCAATGAACAAAAGTGTTCCCAGGTAAGGATTTGAAAAAAAAATTTAAGGGCTTTCTAAGGAAAGTAACTTTACAGGGGATCTGAGTATAAATTCCTAACTGGGCAGATACTAGCAAATTCCATGAGGGCGGGTACTCATGCCCAGGCACAGAATTTATTTAGTGAAAGGTTTATCTTTGCCTTAAGCAAGCCCTATTGTTTCTGTGCATGTGGGTTCACACTCCTCTGAAATGCCTCTTTTCAGGCCCCTCAAGCAAAACCACCCTCAGGAGAGTACATAATCTTTAACTATCCTGTACTCTAATCCCTGCCTTGCTTCCTCCCACTTTACGTAATCTTTCTAAAATTCCCTGTAAGAAAGATGTTGCAAACTGCTATTCTAGAAAGTGTTTTTAACTTTTCTCAGTCGGTTGCAATCTTGCTTCCAGGTATGTCCTGTTTGGTTCAAACAAATTTTTATTAAAAGTCTCTACAGGTTTGGACATTCTTACACCAACACCTAATATAATAAACTATTGTTTATACTTTACTAATCACCTTCACTAATCATCTTCTAATACCCCTGCTTCTCAATGCTGGCTGCACATTATAGTCACCTGCTAATATTAATGCCTACCCCCCTTCAAACAATTAAGTCAGGATCTAAGCACCTGTTACCTTCTAAATGTGCACCCCCAACATGTTTCTAATGAGCACCTAGGCTGAGAGCTACTCTTCTATGGCAAATGTCCTCAATTGTCACTGTGCATAAGAATCACCAGGGAAGCTTGTTAAAAATGTAGATTCTGCCCTGGCTGGCATAGCTCAGTGGATTGAGCGTGGGCTGGGAACCAAAGTGTCCCAGGTTCGATTCCCAGCCAGGGTACATGCCTGGGTTGTAGGCCATAACCCCCAGCAACCGCACATTGATGTTCCTCTCTCTCTCTCTCTCTCTCTCTCTCTCTCTCTATCTCCCTCCTTCCCTCTCTAAAAATAAATAAATAAAATAAAATCTTTAAAAAAAAATGTAGATTCTTGGGCTCTGCACCCCTGTGATTCTGGCTCTGCTGGTGCAAAGAGAGCCCTGGGTTTTACGTTTTTTAAAGCAATATCCTGTTGACAGAGAAGCAGGTACTCATGATTTGAGTATCATTATTCTAAGTTCTTCAAATTGAAGCCCACAGTGAAACAGTGTGCAGCCAAGAGGGGGGCCCCAAACAGGAATTTGGGATGGGGTCCAGTACTCAAGGTGTCCAGGAAATATTATGATGTCCTCACCCCTTCCCCCCTCAGGTGTGAGTTGGGGGAAGGGGCACATGGAGCAGGAACATGCAAAGCTGCTTTGTACAGCAACAGCTTTGCAGCTAACCTCTGGCATGGTCATTTAGCAGATATATAACCTTTAACTGGTTGCATAGATATGTTAAATAGCTATAGCCATGCTCTGAGCCAGGGAAGATGGAAGGAACCCCCCCCCCCCAACCGAAGATGTAACTCGTAACTCAGGGGCAGGTCCCCTGAGTGACAGCGCCTGCATGAGAGCTTGAACAAGATTGGCTCCATGACATGGGGCCACACCTGCCTGGACTCATGATGGCAGCCCAGTAAACTTGGAATAATACAGGAATGCTGGCAGGTGTAGCTGATTGTAGAAGGAGTCCGAAATGGGGATACAGAGGAAGATTGGCACAGGGATTTAAAGCCAGACATGGCAGCCATTGCAGAGGAACCACCCGGCTTTGCCAGAGTGGGGACATCCCCCATCCCTGCAGCTTTGTGGAGGGAGAGAACAACAAGGTTTTGCCAGAGTGCAGACCCCTGCAGCTTCAGTGGAGAGAATAATCATGTGGTTTTGGCCACCAGGGTGGGGACCACTGCAGCTCTGGTAGAAGAGGACCACATGGCTTTGGGGTGCTCCCTTTGGCCATGTGGCCTGGGAAGCAGGGGAGACTTTGCCTGGAAGAAGGGTGAAAGAACTCTTGCCTGTAGGCCATGAGAAGGTGCCACATGGCTTTGGATTAATTGGAGATCCTGCCTGGATGGTGACACAGCTCATGGTGTCAGGACCCTGAATCACAAATGTTTGCTTCTTTTCCGGAGTTACAGTATCCTGAATTAGGGCTGGGGGAGAAGGAAGCACTGTGGGCATCTGTGGGTATCCTAAAGGACTTTGATATTTTAATGAAGACATTAGGTCACTACTTTAAGTCTGCATAACATTAAAAAAACATTTCCTTTCCTTTTCACAAATCTCTGGCATTGAGAGATGTCTTTCCTATAAGGCAGCGGACATAAGGAACCTGGGGGGGTCCTTTTGGTAATAATATATCGTCCTCACTGGCCTTGGCCCCTTGTTCTGTAACAGTTTTTGGTGTCCCTGGGTGGGCCAATAATTGCCCCCCCCCACCCCACCTGTTCTGTAACAACAGGTCATATGAGGACCACAGGGAGGCCCTAACAAGTTCCAACAGACAAGCACTCATGCTCAGTGTTTCCTTTCCCCACTGGATTCATCTCATGGGAAAGGGAGTTATGTATTTTTACTTTTATGATCTCTTAACTGTACACTGTGAATTCATTTAGGGAGAAAGTCTAAACTCCACATTATCTCTTTAAATCCTCCAACTCCTTTTTAAAATAGCAGATATTCAAATATTATGGTTAAAATGATCAAAAAATAGCGAACATTCATAGAACACTTACTGCCAGGTACTGTCCCTAACACTTCATGTGTATTAACTCATCTGACACATTTAATACAACAAATCTATGGGTAGATTCCATTATCCTCATTTTACACACCAGAAACTGAGACCTAGAAAAGTTAATTAGCTAGTGTACAGGAGAACCAGCACTCAAACCCAAGCACTTTTACTCTAGAGTAGTTCAGGCTCTTAAGAATCACACTAATGTGCTTTTCAAAGCAATTGAGAGGCAGTAATTTCAAAGAATGACTTTTGCAAGGGTGTAGCTAGAACTGTGTTGCAAGGGCACAGTAATGCTTCAGAAATTCTTTATGCGGAAGTTCAATAGACTATACAAGGTTTTTTATTACCTAAAACCAGCTGACACACACAAAAAAAGACAGTCCTTTTTTAAATATCCTTTACAGTAAGTACTTGTGAGTTTTTGAATGAAAGAATAAGTTTTGATGAAACTTTACTAACTTTGCTGTTTCTTTACCAAGTGAAAGACAGAGAGAGATAGTATGCTACATACTGCCCTTACTGCAATGAGTGTGAATAATTAAGACATGCTCAATAGCTTCTTAGTCCTGAAACGTGAATGTTCAGAAACATGATGTTCAACCTCTTCCATTACTTCCCTTCCTCAACTGCTAGAGTGTCTCTGAAGTGTCACCCGACTTCATTCAATACCTGTATACTGAATCCCCCTCCATTCCTGCCAAAACAATAAGATCCTAGTAATATGGGTATCTCCAAATTACTCTAAACTACAGCAAATCCATTAACACAAAATGTGGTCATTAAAGAAACCACAAATAAGTGTTCCCAGGAACCAAACGACCTAGAAATTAATGGGGACAGAAAGTGCATCTAAGCAGGAATTGATGCTGATTTCACACCCAGCAAAGAACATTCTCAGTGTGTCTGTCAAAAACACTCAGTTTGTAGGGTTTAGATGAAGCTTAAGCTCCAGACAATGTAAGATGCCGTATGTGCCAAGGTGCAGTATGAAACAATGGAAACATCCTGCTGGAACAAACAAGAGTATAACAAAGACCCCTTTATGATCGTCAATTAACAAAGACAGGACTGAACTAGGTATTCTTAAGTGCCAGCCTCACCAGGCGGGGAGGGGAATCGTGACTGCTGTGCTCTGAAGGGAGTGAAAATCTTTTGTTTGAGGCTGCAATCATCTGATACTTCATTGTTTCAGGGTGAGAAAGATTATTACTTAAAGGGCTGCACAGCCCTTTTGTGGGAGACAGTGTGTCACCAGATGGACGACAATAAAATAAAAGGCAGGGAGAGGCTAAATGAAGTCACCAACCCACTGGGAGTAATTTGTCTTCACATTCACAAAGTGGTATTTCCTACCAAGAAAAGTCAGATGGTGTCCACCCAAATTAAAATGTCAATAAATCAAAAATAATCATGGTTGTGTTTTCCCTATAACCCTTCTACAAAACTATGTTTTCCTACCTATGTATTCTGAGCCCACTAGCTGTTTTACTGAAAAATATATAAATCCAAAAGCATTTTTCTAAGTATAACCAAAAAATAGTTGATGCAAATGTCCTCAATTTATTACAATTTTTAAAGATATATACTACAAATACAATGCTTTAGAATTTCACTTTAAATTTATATGAGTTTACTTTAGGAATAGTACTATGAAACAATTTTTTAAAATATATTGATTGCTAGTTACAGATTTTAATTATTCATGGGAAAAAACTGATATTTCACTCATTGAAGAGGCAATCATGAGCTCTTATGGTCCTTAGCTCTTGTCTTCCTGGAGCT